GATAATTGAATGATATTTTTGATTCATTGATTTATATCATAAATTCTTGTCAGACCCTTTATTTTATCGTCCTTTAGATCGGACGATGTAGTTGACGGGCTCACTAATTCAGTGTACAATATCTAGCCAAAAGTGGCTGTGATTGTGGGAGACTGTAATTAATAGATTAAGTAGAACTCAAGAACGGTAAATGGTATAACAATAGTCTATGGGTTACAATAAAGCTTATAATGAAAGAAACATGAATATACATAGTTTAGCTACGTAACAATTATACAGCAAAAATATTTGTGTATCGTATTGGTCCATAAATATTTCTCAAAAGTTACCATTCATAATTCTCGTCGGAATATAACATTTAGAAATGAAATATTCATGTTCTAGATACATAATCCTGAGAAACAAAATTAACTAAGTACAAATCAGATAAGAGGTAAAGATTAATAAATAGTGTCATGTAAAGAATTGTGTAACAAACATTGACGAATCTGATGTCACCACGGCAAAGCAAGACTGACAACTGAATTCTTTTGGATATATAAATTTAGTTGATGACTGATGAGGAACCACGAAATATAATAAATTCGTATCATTCGATTATGTTCATTGTACTTTCATTAATCCGAGTAAAACGGACAAGAAACCTACATCTGATTGAAAATGATACCATTATTATTGCTATTATTGTAGATTCAGTTGAGTAACGAACTTGGAATTTATTAAATTTCATCTAAAAAACAAATAGTTCTTAATAAAAAAAACTTAAAATCTGACTTGCCAAAATTTTATTTACATTTACATATATGCAAAGTATGATAACTAAATAGGTTACTTTGATAATTGAATGATATTTTTGATTCATTGACTTATATCATAAATTCTTGTGAGACCCTTTATTTTATCGTCCTTTAGGTCGGACGATGTAGTTGACGGGCTCACTAATTCAGTGACTCGGGATTTGATTCCAATTACATCGTATGAATGTTCGTTATTGAATGATTGCTGTCGAAATATATATGTCGCCTATCCTCGTATATTTCATCGAATTAAATCGCGTTAGTCAATAACGGAATTAAATACGTCAAATACGAGAATGAATTTCGAATATGTATATTTCATACAATCGTTGATCCAGACAAAATTTAGAGGAAGCAAAGAGAAGAGAGTGAAGCGAAATAACGCGCGGTGGATAAGGTGTGTGAGTGTGGTGTTTGAATGAACTATTGATTCCTTTGTACTTGTTGAATGCTTGATTTCGAATTCCAAATACAGTACATTCATTTGTGGTTATCTAGTACTTGTTGATCCGATTACGTTATTTCTGGGATTCTTAGTTCATACTATAATTCAAATACTCCTGAATATTACATTGGCGTCGCGATGGAGCCTGTGATGGAATTGTTGAATATACATTCAGATCTTGATGCTTTTGAGGGTTACTTTGAAAGGTTCGAACTCTCGACTATGACCAAGGAAGATGATGAGGATGTTAATATTGTAGCACATTTCCTCATATCCATTGAAAATAAGCATATAGCTTATTAAAAACTCTGGGTTTACCGGAAAAGCCCATTTCGCTTTTTTATACAGCTCTCAAGGATCTACTGCTAGACTATGTTAAGTAAACAGATTTTGAATGTGGTAAAGGAGGAAGATTTCGTAAAATGATTCATGTGGATATAAAAAATTACACTGCATTACATCATCACAACCCAGTTCATACTCAAGGTTATGCAGATGATTCATTGAGGAGTTGCGATGCAGTTCACGAAGACGGGCTCAATTTTGGTCAATGTTTGTCCTGTGGCAGGTTCCACTCTTTTAATTCATGTAAATTTCGTAATTCTAAGTGCATTAAATGTGGTGACATTGGACATATTCAGTCATTTTGTAATACTACTGTTCATCTTTCTGCAACGGATATTAAGTTTTGTAATTCTGATTCTATTAAGTTGAGTACTTCTAATGATTATTCATCTTTATCAACGATTTTAAAAGACAGTGTAGAGTCATATAGCAGTCCAGAGTTAAGTGAAACTCAGAGTCCTTGCGAGGTAACAGTTTCTAATCAATCGACTTATCAGATTTCCCATGTTATTGTACCAGATGTGGTTTTTCCTAATGATTCGCTTATTTCCGACGAAATTCCCTGCAATTCTGAGTGAAATATGTTGAATGAACTTAGTCATGATCGAAAACCTGATACAGCCTTGATATATGCCAATTTTTCTAACAACCCTTTACTCTTCAATGACATTCCTAATAAATTCGAGGAAACTATTTCAGAAGAGTCAAAGCTTGATGTCATACCAAATATTATTTGGTATTTGTCCTCATAATGCATATGTTTCTTGTGGGAAACTTGTTCAATGAGAAGCATGAGTACTAAATGACCTCGATTTTGATTACAGTTCGGATGATTTCATATCAACCGCTGTTTATCATTATCACGAAGTCACTTCTAATATTTAATCCAGTCAATGTGCGATATATTTTTTAAATGAAGCCCCATTATTTATAACTTGGGGATATAAAGATCCAACATTATTTCGTGGGGGAGGGTAGTGTTGAAAAATCTATGGTTCGAATTCTAGATATTAATGATTTCAGTACAAAACTGACATGCTGATTGTATACAATTCCAGGTGAGTCTGTTCCGATTTTGGTTGTTATTTCAAATACTAATGAGCACATTCTAGATACTACAGAGTTTTTATCCAATACAATGTCGGACAGACTCAGGATGAACTTGAGAAGATGTACAATCACTTACAGACACCTAGACGCCAATTTAAGCTGTGGCGGATGTGGTGTTTGAATGAAGTAATGATAACATTGTACTTGTTGGATGCTTGACTTCGAATTCTAAATACAATAAATTTGTTCGTGTTTGTCTAGTACTTCTTGATCTCATTACTTTATTTCTGGGATTTCTAATTCATACTATGATTCAAATAATTCGAAACATTATATCCACATACACCAACCAGTTGACGAAACTTTCATACAGACCTGTACATCGGAAATCGTATGTGTCGAACACTTGAATTTAGTAAACAAATCTTAATGATTCCAGCACTTACATTTCATTCACACTCCAAACCAGAAGCTAAAAAGTCTCCTTTCTCTTTTGACACAGTTGTTTTGCTGAGCCTGTGTCTGTAAGAACGGTGTCTAACACCAGGATTAAAGGGTATATACGGAACTTACTAATCCTATAACTTCACATACCCCGGCAACAGTTTCATACATCTACTTATCGTAATTAACAACAGTGAAATAAATTTTAATTAAATGTACACAAAAGTAGTTGATACTGGTCCCTTGCGCTTATCAGCCAATCATTTGAGTTATTCGGCATTGAATTTGATATCAGACGGGTGAAATTTAATGAACATAGCAAGTGGAACTCACGGACCTTAGTCAATTTGATACTCCACTACGCTTACGTGATGAAAATGTCGTTTGCTGTGGAAGCATGTGACAGAAATAATTGAATCACGTCCTTATCTTTAGTTGGAACCAGCTACTGAGCATTCGAATGCGGTTTCTGAGGTTTTTCAAGTCACTACTGCTGAGACACTGAAGTATCCTGGCTGCACTACAGGTTCTTTTTGAATCACCCTTGGGCATTGCTCTCGAACGCGTACTCATAGTGCGGGAGGACACATCAGCTAGATCAATAAACGCCAGATGCAGGGCTTCATGCTGATAGAGAACAACCGTGCCAATCCATATTTGTACAGCCAGCACAGAAGCAGCTGAAAACGTGACTACGGGATCCATAACCCACATATATGGTGGTATATATACGGCGAATGTGCTCAGAAAATAACAAACCGCTCTGCACATTTCAGTCACTCACGGTGATGTGAAGTAGGGGTTGTCTCCGTTAGTGACACGTAGCATGCTAAATGCGTCAAATCACTTCAACCCGTAAATCTTACCAGAAAATGTTCACCAAACTCCTCAAGACAACCCTTGAAAAACTTCACATCAATGAGAAAATACTCAGTCACGCTCCCACTATTCATCATTCAGAATGGTCTTGAGAATCGCTGCCTCAGCTGAAGAGACATCTGTTCCAGCGGATATCTTTAAGACGAGACATGACAAACACAACCCACTCATTAGATGGTGGTTGGAGGTAGTCGACAGGAAACCCTGGACCCGGCTACCTGGAACTCGTCAGCAAGGTGTACCTGTAATCCTGAGAGAACTGGTGCTTCCTGGCGGTACCGATCCCGTGTCACCTAGCTTCACAGTCAGAGACACCCAGTGGTCAGTCAATTGTGACAATCCGCTCATGTATTATCATCTAACACTTAAACTAGCTTTACCTAACGCAGTGTCTCAACTTATTTACTGTCATCGCTACCACAAATCAGTGACTTCTTCCCATTTTGCTTCAAATGATCTCCATTTATCCATTTATTCTTAACCATTGGTCTTCTCATACAGTCTGCATTAATAATTAATTTATATATTTATATATCTCTTGAGAAAATTGTCTTCTCATTAGACCTGAATACTTTGCTTATTTTTTTCATATTGCACACTATTAAAGTGATAGGTGCTGGGTTCAGAAAACTTACTGTCCTGGGACAAGCTCATCCACTCAGGTTACATGATGTACAAATTATAACACTAATAACACGATAAGATAGAAACGATCTTTGATTTGAAAATATTGATCAGTTGTTAGTTTGATCACTACCTTAACATGAACAGTTGCAGCTGGACAGAAGTTATTCGAGCAGAGAATCTACGTGTATCTCATTGAGGGATTTACTACAATGACGATTCCAACCAAATGATCCATTGACAAACTTTAAAACCTGCAAATAGCAACCAAACTAGCTAAAACTACTGCAGTCGAACACCCAGACTAAAAATCATCCAACTTTACAGTGGAAATTGGTTCGTATCTAAAAAGCAAGTGAAAAAAACCAATAAAATTACACGAACACGTCACAAGAACATTGGACTTCGGTTTTAGCCTTGACGGTTTTTCAAAAGACGGTGTGTCACACTCATAACTGGTAATTCCTATATATTTCTGCCTTGAAGTGAAACAGATATTCTGTGGCTATCGTTAGCGCCTTCAATGTAAATTTTTTCATTTATCATGCTCTCGTCGTTCCCATTTTCCTGCTCAGGTTCTCATTAATTTCGACCTAAGTAATCATGCTTGATATTTTGCGTAACATGTATAGAATTTCAGCAAAAACATCCACTTTTGTGGCCTTTGTCCCTTGCCCTAAGGAGAAATCAACGCTACTTCTCGAATTCCACGCACATCCTGGAAATTCTACGTACATTTCCTTAGACGTCGCTTAAATTTCCTCAGAGTTCGTGTACATTCTCGAAGCGTTTTTTTGTCAACAGCCCGTTGTCTTCATGAATCAATTATGCATCCCATTAACGACATAGTAGACGGTAGACTTATATTTAAAGGTCGAGATAAAGCGTTTTCTAACACTATATGCTCTAAATAATGCGACAATAACCTACACTTTAGGAAGTAGCTCTCCCAAATCTCACTTAAAAACATGAAAGTGATGAAAAAGACTGGGTTGCTATGAAAACGAAGGGCGGTGTTATTTCCGTCCTGAGTTGAAACCTTTTAGAAGTAGTTTCATTGTTGTTTATATTCGTTCACAATACAGAGTTTAGTGTAGTTTCTACTTCAGTGTCGTATTTTAACTCACACTTTTCTGTTCAAGATTATCACACTCATTTCTCACCCTCATCTTAAAAGAAGTTACAGGGCACAAATAAACCCATCAGTGGCTTGGTGTTCGAAAAATCATGTACAATGGTCAAACCAAAATGTGATTCTTCTGGTTTAGCTATTAAAACAGGTGGTATTCGTTTTCAGAAGACAAAGGGTCAGCATATACTGAAAAATCCCCTCGTTATTACCACAATGGTGGAAAAGTCTGGTATCAAGTCCACAGACTCCTTGCTTGAAATTGGTTCTGGAACTGGTAACCTCACTGTCAAGTTGTTAGAAAAGGGAAGGAAAGTGTACGCATTCGAAATAGATCCAAGAATGGTTTCGGAATTGCAAAAACGTGTGCAAACCTCGTAAGTTCCTGTACATGATTCCTATAATCATGTGACAACCAGTAAACCGTTTAATAATTTCTGTCTTACGTGACTAGGCACTGGATGTTATTGGTATTATTAATTCGTCAACCAGTTATACATTCGTATATTTGACTTTGAGCCCTGGCGTGTGTAGGCTGTCAATACTACCCAATTAACGTAAGTGGGGTGGGTTTCGAACCGGTGGCTTCCGCAGACCTGTAGTATTGACAGCTCTCACACTTAAGGTGTGACTCAAAGTCAAGTAGTTAGTGAAACTGTGAGTCCCCACTTGGACTTCCCTAATTTTATAGTAGTAATAAAACGTTCATGTGAATCTGCAAATGACCATACCAACTTTTAGGTGTCGGTGTAATAATTATTAAATGTTGTGGTTACGAACTCTTACTAATATCCCTACCCTTGTGTCCATGTTTCAGTTGTCGGTTTTGTGGCTGTTGTGCAGTACATATAGAGGTTTTAGACAGTCAACTCTATACAGCAAGATTGGTCTCATGACAACGCCATTACCTTTAATATATCACCATTTTCTTGAGGATGATGATTCACATTTGATGTTTGTGTTGAATACATATGAATACATGTAGTTTAGTCCCTCGGTTAACTCAACGTGTATATAGACCTGATGATGTAAGTTTCAACACTGAAGGTAACGATGTATCAAATAGTAGTCAAATTAACGTACCGTTATGGTGTGTTAGTTACTTGAGCTGTAACCAATAAAAGTTTACAGTTCCCAGGAGCTAGTTATTTGAACTGTCATAACTATGGGCAAATACACATTTCTAGGCCACACCGTTACTCACACAGCATTGTTACTGGATATGAGCAGCCCTTCAAAGACAATGACGATCAGAATGGACGTTCTCAAAACAGAGGTCGTAAACACTAAAAGGAGTCGATTCTAAGTAGTTCATTTTGTTTCTAAATAGTTGTACCATAAGTCAGATTCAATAACAGCTTCCGAAAGTAACCATTCAATAACTTAGTATCATTTGGACAGAACAGAGTCCTCAACTAAGATCTACAATTGAACGAGTCGAAAATTTAGATGTAAAAAAATTGTAAGGTACATGGGAACAGAACAAGAGAGGATGTTAAGGTGATATAAAACACATTTACAGTAAAATGTAGTTTGATTGATTAACGTACAAGGTAAGTCACTATCCCCATTAGTTCCTGTCTCTGAAGTCACTAGAATTCTTCTCTTACTTAAGGATTCTCCGTATTTTTTTGATATACCGACCTCACTGTTTGACAGTTTTATGAGAACCACATAGGGAAACTGCGTTTCTTTGATGATTTACACTCAAAATTACATTTTTACAAATAGATTTGATCACAACCAGTACAGTAATTTAGAAAGAAACCGTTTCGGTTAACATTTCTTGTATGGTCAGGTTACTTTTCTGTTTTGTTATAACTGATCAACGTTGACAAAAGCTTCACAAGTAGTAACAATGCAATTCTCATATTGCACAGTTTTCCATTTATTTAAATCCAGATACTTAGACAATTTGGCTTTGTTGTTCACTTCATTCTTCTCTAGTTCTGTTTGCTTTTACCTTATGCCTAATTTACGCATTCGCGAAGTCGCTTGAGGCGTCTATCCGAATCATCAATTATTTGCGTCAAAAACTGTATAAGTAATTACTCCTAAAACTATAAGCCGTCTAACCTATCATCCGTCTATTCAAAACAATCATTTGTAATATTAGTAACTATCAGTGTTAGGTTGATGCACTGCTACGTCTCATTTTTTAAACTCCACTGGATGTACGCATTGCAGAAACGTTTTAAGCCAGTGCTTTTCATGAAATATTTGTCAGACCACATCGAACCAAACTAGAAATTCTCGTTGGCGATGCAATCAAAGCAAAATCATGGCCCAAGTTCGATCTCTGTGTAGCGAACCTGCCGTATAAAATCTCCTCGCCATTCATCCAAAGACTGATTAGCGCAGGTCGTGGTTTTAGAGCAGCAGTTGTTATGCTCCAGAAAGAATTCGCTGATCGTCTTACGGCTAAACCTGGAGATAAATTATACTGTCGTCTGTCAGCATCTGCTCAGTTCCACTTCAAAATTGAACAGTTGATGAAGGTAGGTTGTTAAATATAATCGCTATTTAAAACGACTTTTCAACTATTATTATTATGGCTTTAATGTTTTTTACTTTTTCTTTATATATGTTAGGTGGAAACTTGTCTTTCATACTTCAGGCCTATAAATTATTCTCATCCCACCACTCTTCTTTAGCCTCTCAGTCATCACGCGACCTGTTGGTATTTAAAAACTCGAATCACTTTGCGATGTAATATCTCTCTGTTCTCCTATAGGCTCATATATCTACCAAACAACTATAAATACGAATGTACAGCTTAAGTAAATTATTTTATCAAAAAAGGAAATTCTGTTTATTCTTATTCAACGACAATGAGATACTTTAATTATCAGAACGACAAATTTACAGTGGACGAATCCACTTGACTAGTTCTGACTCCAAAGTGAGACCGTCTAGAATTAGTTCGTACCGCTTAAAGATCAGAATATTCTTGAGCAACCTGTCATCAGACGCGTTCGGTTTTTAATAAACGTAGGTTTTCAGAAATATAGGAGCATTAAAATGAGTTTAAAAATATGTTATTTATAGGAAGTTTACTGAGTAAATCCCAGCACCAAGTAACATTACTGATTCTTTACATTCCGCTTAATTTGACTTATTTGAAAAACGAAGGACTTTTCGCTACCGAAAGGCTACTCAAAGTTTACTAATGCTGGAAATTTTCGGAAATGCTTAAAGATTACAATGGGTGTGAATATTACTCAAAATCAGATAAGTCTAACTACTAAACTAGGAGCTAATTACGTTTGTACTAACTATACAAATGGAACGAAATATCTCGTCCACTAGGAGTTTCAAAAGTTTGCGTTAACATAGCTGCTCGCTCCTAATTTTTTTAAACGTTTGATAAACATACAGTGTAACTCCATTTATCTGTAGTTATAAATATTTGGGTTACTGTAAATGTTGTCCAAAGGCCACTAGACCCTTTTAAGAATTGCATGGAAGGTTATCTAAGGTCACTATTTACTGTCATTAGATTTGAATTCCTACCATACATTCGTGCTTCTGATCTTTTAGGGTTTTATCTCATGATGATGATTTAAACGTAAAGAGTAAATGATTATAGTTTGGGTCGAGCACTCAAATGGAGTTCTTTTTATTTCCGTATCATTAACTACATCTCGGCTAAATTTCTCATTTGTATTTTTCAAATGTCGCTCTGGTAATAATTCGCAAAATGAAATAATTTAATCCGTTATTTTAATGCATACTGTTAAGTCAGCGATTGAGCTTATTTTAAACTGTTAGGTACGCTAGGAAGCTAAACTGTGCACCCAGAATAATTAATCATTCGAATACTCGTACGTGTTAGAAAACGGCAACAAGATATACGAAAATGTCAGGAATTAACACCGCATGTACAAAACTTCACTACTATTTCAGTTTTTCATGTCACAGCTTACACCATTTTAAGTTGTTTAACCCTTATGTATACTATTCCTTCATTGTAAGTATGTTCAAATATCATAAACAAGCCGTTAAATAAACCTCTTACAATTTATTTTAAATATTAGATCAATAGAAACAGTTTTCGTCCCCCACCGCGTGTTGATTCAGCTGTTGTTCGGATTGAGCCCAGGCATCCATTACCACCTGTGATGCATTCAGAATGGGATGGATTACTGCGTCTTGTGTTTGCTCGCAAAAACAAAACGATCGGAGCTAACTTTAGCGGCAAGTCAATAGCTGCACATTTACGTAAGATTTACATGGAGACTTGTTGCACAAAAGGATTGTCACCAACTCCAGAGGTTATTGCCTGTGAGTCTACTGGTGTTTCAGCAATGGAGGAAAAAATAACAAATATACTTCGAGATTCAGGTTTCGAGAAAAAGCGCGCCCGTACTTTGGACGAAGATGACTTTCTTAGATTATTATTAGCCTTTAAAAAAGAAAATATAAATTTTGGTTGATTTTTCTGTAATGTTCTTATTTTGTAGAGAATTGAGAAGGCATGATACATTGTACATAGTCGAGTATATCTCGGCCGTAAGAATATTATGCTAAAGTATCACAAAAACCCCTCACGATCTTTCCTATGATTTACGAAGATTATTTCCATTTCGGTTCTCATGACTAAATGATGGAGACTTCATTAGAATGGGAAATAAATTTATCTTAAAATGCCCTTTTAAATAACATTTACAAGTCAAAACTCGTAATAATATCATGCAGATACCTTTTTGATTGATCTATTCGTACATCAAGTACAGTTTCAGCAGCTACATGTGTTTGGCGTTTTAAAGGCTGATATAAGAGCTGTGAAGAAATATCTTCGAAGTCGCTCAAACGGAAATCAAGTGGTGGAAAGTAAGAAATACACATCGCAGCCCATCAGTTTCCACAGCAGTATTCGGTTAATCATTATACAACCAACTACCATCTAGGATCCAATCAATAACAGCTTTGCTGTTAGACTTTATGTTACTCCACCACTCGAGAAAAATCCCAGCACTCTGAAGTTAAAGTCAAGTAATTATACTGTTCTTTGTTTTTGTTCTTAAACTAAAGCATCGATTAAAAATGTGTCTCTAATGGGTAACGTCGGATTCAAATCAGCGTCTAAGTACAGAAATTTTGAGGCCTCAGCCATTAACAATAATCTCATAGCAAGCTTCGGGAAACTTGTGGATGATATTTTCGGAGAATAATATAGAAGAGACACTAAAGATTGTCTTTGAATTTCATGCTATCCAACTTGTAATTGATACTTTGAAGTATGAGAAAGACTGAGTGTGCTAGGGAACTGCCAGAAACATAATTTCACGTGCAACAGAGAATAGTCGTTTTGGACTAAACGTCTTGCTACCGTCAACCTAATATGTGTTTGCCCCTATAAAAAAAACCTTTAGGTAACAAAATGAAACCAATTTTATGTGAACTATGTACAATATACTTACAAAATTAATACGATCAGTAGAGCATGTACATTTAAGCTACACAAAGAGTTGTCTTGTGGACAGGAGTGGACCAGCAAATCGTTCGTGACTTTTTATTGTACGACGTTCTTTAACAAGCTTTAATCGAAGGTTATCTGCTTGACGTCTTACTTGTCGTAAAATGGATCGCTTGTAATGACTATAAGTGGTTCGAAAACCAGGATGTGATGTAGATAAAGAGCAAGTTCCATTCGTCACAGTAGTATTAGAAAATTTGGAAGTCATATTTTTAGTTTTGGGAGTCATATTTCCGAAGGGGTGCAAGTTGAAAACAGTATCTGTCGTGATTGTAACTTCTCCATTTGACTTGGTACTGGGCAAGGTGTCCGATCTTAATGGAGCATGAAACACTTCAGTTGTCCATTCCAACTCCTCTTTAACTTCGTGGTGGTCAGTATGAAGAGATACTGGGAAATCAAAAATGATGTATTAAGTACTTGATTCTAATCCATTACAATATTCATTATTAAGGAGAATAATTAAGCAAATATTAAAGACTGGAAATTTTCACCAGTGTGACTACTTTAAGGCTTAAACTATTCATACTGTCAAATAATTATTAAGTTTTGACTAAAGTTCTGTTCTTTAAAATGAATTCGAAGCTGAAAATTATGAACACAAGATGGAACTGGCCAACATTTAAAGAATGAGAATACAGATAGAACGCAGCAAAGATTTGTGCACGGTTCCTAATTCGGCTTAGTGATATTTTACAATTCTTAATTAACTATGTACATTAGTATATATAAGTCTTGAATAGGAATCATAAGCCTGAATGGTTTGCAATTTCATAAACAGTGAACTGTGGTTGAAAACTGTCCAAAAATACCACTCAAAATGTGTATCTAACTACCTGTTTTTATTCTTGAATTCAACATCAACTACTTAGAAACGTCTCACACAATCACCAAAGTGAAGATAAGCATGACCAAAGCAGTCAGTCAGCTACAACCTAGGACCAGGCACATATATGCATCGGTCCAAGTTGCCACACCTCACTAGCAAAACCAGATAAACACTAAATTCATAGAAGTAGTTACTTCAATGGTAGCAATATATAAAAGAAAGATTGTACATAACGATATAGTGCAGGAAAAAAGAATTAGTTCATAAAAGGAAAGATATAAAGCAATTTTAATTTCATGGTCTAAGGAAAGACAAAGAGTGTATACACCAAAGCACCTCTTCCCATTGTTTCATTCGAGCAGTGGGGTTAGGCAGGGTTGCCCAATCTCACCATTCCTCTTCAACTTTTCTATCGATGACATTCTGGAAACAACTCTGATGGATATAAGTAATGGCGGTGTGGATCTGTTGCCTGGAGAAAGACTTCTCGACCTTGAGTATGCGGATGATATTGTCTTACTGTGCGATAATGCCCAAGCCATGCAATCCACACTTAATCAGTGGCCGTAGGTATGGTGTGTGCTTTGCATCTTCTAAGTGCAGAGTACTTCTACAAGACTGGCAGGATCCTAATCCTGTACTCACCCTGGGTAGTGAGCAAATAGAAATAGTCGAAAGTTCATGTGTCTGGGTAGCTGCATAAGTGCTGGTGGGGGTGTGAGTGATGAGATCAATGCACGTATAGTGAAAGCCAGAGCGGCTTATGGCAATCTGCGTCATCTTTGGCGCCTTCGTGATGTTAGTCTGGCTGTAAAAGGTCGGGTCTACAACTCGTCGGTGAGAGCAGTTCTGCTCTATGCTTGTGAAACCTGACCTCTCCGAGTTGAGGATGTTAGACGACTCTGTGTTTGATCATCACTATCTCCGAAGAATTGCTGACATCCAGTGGCAACACCATGTTAGTAATGCAGAGGTTCAGCATCGTGTGTTCGGGCACAGAGATGATAATGCAATCGATGTCATCATCTTGAAACACCGACTTCGGTGGCTTGGACATGTTCTTCGAATAACGTCCCAGAGAATTCCACGTCGTGCATTATTTGCCGACTCTGGGACTGGTTGGAAGAAGTGGAGAGGTGGTCAGTGCATGACATGGTGTCGTGGCATGAAAGAAAGCTGCAAAGGACTGGCTTCTGTTGGTCCTTCACGACTCCCTGGTTGGGGTCCGAGAGATAATCTACACAGTGGCTAGAGACTTTATCAGATATGGCTCAGAATAGAAGCCAGTGACGATCCTGCTGTAACTTTATTTTGCTTTCTTCATAAAAAAAGACGTAATTTCTTTAAGTGGAAGGATTCTTTGTGGCTGTATTTTTGCTAATTGAACTGTCTCTCCCATTATTGTTATTTCATTATGATACACTAATTTCTGTTCATTGTTGTACTTCTTTTTTCTTATACGCACCTTACATTCTTTATATCTTTACATTCTCATTATTGTGTAGCGCATATGTATATTGTGCCCGTTTGTACCAATATTTATGTGTTCAAATAAACAAAATAATAAAATTGTGATTAATTCTGAGCTATGTCACCCAGAGTCTTCAACCGTTGATTACGATAGTCACGCGGACCTCAACCAAGTAGTTTGCATCTACCAACATGGCGCAGACCATAAGTTAGTGACTTTATGAACTCATGCCACGTTTTGGTTTGGCCGCCACTAACTTTCTTCCAACCGTCTCCAACACTAGCCAACAATGCGCGTCGTGGTGATCGGTGTTCAGGCATACGTAACATGTGGCCCAACCATCTCAATCAATGAAGATTTACAACCTCATCAACTGATTTACCATCATTCCCTAATATCCTAAGTCTAACCTCACTATTACTTACCCAGTGATCCCAGCAGATGTGAGCAATATTTCTAAGAAATTTGTAATCTAATACTAGAAGCTTACGAGTATCTTATACTATCAATGGCCACGTTTCGCAGCCGTAAAGTAAAACAGAACGAACAGACGCGCAGTATACTCGTCCCTTAGTTGAAAGACGGATATCTCGCCTTCACCATAGGTGACGTAAGTTGGCGAAAGCCAAGCGAGCTTTTCGAATCCGTGCTGAGATTTCGTCAGAAACCAACCCATTAGGGCTGATCAAACTTCCAAGTGAAGTTGTTGACGCGTTCGACTAATTTACTCTGTATCCTTAATTCAGGTGTTGACGCAGGCCAGTCCTGAAGCAACGACTCTGCATTTTATCAGCGTCTTCACCAAACAGGACTGTCATCTGCGTATTCTAAATCGATAAGTGGACCTCCTGACCAAAGCAAACTTGGTGTGAACAGAATATTGGTATATCGGAAAAAAGATGACTACGGAAAACAAAAAAGTAATTATTGGGAAGAATATCTGATGATCAACCAAATGTAATGTTCCAGTACTTCGTTAATTAGCCAAGAGCTGTTTAAAAAATAACGCACAAGAGATTGTTATACAAGAGATATACGTAGTAATTTAATGTATATCTAAAATCCATAAGTTAAAATGGCCCTGGAATGCAGAACGATAATAAATGATGTGTTTACATATAGTCAATGCATTTTACTTATTAGTTGCAATAAGAAAAATACATATTAAATACACCAACTGAAATGCCTAGTTTTTTGCATACTTCTAGAAACCCCAATCTTAGTTTTTACATTAAAGCCAGTGATAATATATAGAATGATGTCATCCAGAAGATTATAAATCAGAATGCTAATTTATTTATTTTAACACATAGATATTGGTACAAAGAGGCACCAAATACATATGCGCCACACAAATCTCATTTGATATGTGTGAGGGCTGTGATACTGCCCGAGTGCCCAAACCGAAGCAGGATCAGAATGATTAGTCATTGCCCGCAAGTTTTATCGTTCCATAATAATCAATTCAGTATGAAAATAAAACTTGATTTGGTTAAGTTTAAGTATAATGCTGAATATGTGAGGTTCGAGAAAGCAACTTCAAAGCTATGACGCATTTGTCGATCTAGGATAATATTTATCGAACCATATCAAACCCAAATGTTACTTATGAACCGAAAAACAACCAATTTTATTGGGGAAAACATCGCTAGGTAGTTACAAGGCGTTTGATTGCTGAAGAGAATACATGTGAGTATAGGAATGAAATGACGATGAATGAGTGTGTAGAGACACAAGATGGATTAACATTTCCATGTAGTGTTGATTAGAACTTTGGGTTAAGAATACAGTTAAGAGTTGTGTTTAGGGTTAGGATTAAGATTATGCTAAAACTAGATTTAGGGTTACAATTAGGAGTTAGTGTGTACATATACATGATTAAGAACACACAGCAAACTTAGAAACGTCGATAATTAATGCGAAAGCAGTATATTCTTCGTAAATTCTTTGATTTTGGATTATAATTCGTCGATATCTGTTGTTTGATGACTGACTGAAATGGGCTAAGATCGTAAGGTCATTTCATAGTATCGTTTATTTTTTACGTTTGATTCTTAAAGTAGCAATTAAATAGTAGTTTACAATAGAATCTGACAACCATTCAGCGAAACTATTTCAGATATTTTTTATATTACTTCTGTTAGACTGTGATCGACTGACTATGAAAACCCGAATTTCAGCCAACATATGGGTAACTTTGCAAAAATAACCCATGAGTAACATAATTTTGATTCATTCGTGTAAGTGGTCTCATAATAAATTGATATGATTTCCAAGAATTGTGCCTAACAGTTAAGTCTCGATTTATTGGACGGTGAGTGACCTACAAACTGATTTCCCCAAATCGCCTACGAACTTTTGCTGTGTTTATTCTGGCAATACTCTATATAAGCATGTTATCTTACTAAAAAGAAAACCTTTTCTTTTGGCTGGTAGTTTTGTCTTTAAACTAAAATCATTCGACAGCTTACGTCAATAATTTGATTACTACTGTCATATTGCACCATTACATATAATCGATTGACCAACATAATTTTCTTTTATTTTAGCAATCAGAAATCCGTTCATTAAAATACTAATCCATAACATAAACAAGTATACATATTAAATTATTTGTTTAGAAAAGGCTTGAAGAAATTATAATCTTACAAATAATCAGGACTAAGTCAAATAACAATTTTAAGGCTGAAACGACAAGGACTCATCAATAAAAAAACGTAGACTTACTTTCTGAAACTTCGAGAAACTTTATATTGTCTGACACAACACATGTTCGGACATGCTAATAAACCTTGGAAAAGAAAAAAGGCAGTGTTCTGTCAGGACAGTATATGTCATGAGAACACGCCGACCAAGGACGAAGCTTACGCAACAATTACAATATGAGAAACAAAAGAAAAACCAACTAATTGAAGCAATAACTGTTTACCGGCAGGATATTTACACTCACCAGTTGATTCATGTTTAGAAGATATAAAATTCAATGGTAGGAAATAGTGTATGCACTAATAAGTACTATAATAATATAACTTCACTTTTACCTCTTTATTTTGACAAAAAATTAACTCGTTTCCCACCATACATTTGACAATTGTAACAGGCAAACATATTCCATTTCTCATGCATGAAGTACAAGTGAGGAAGTCCATTTTGAGGTTACCGTGTGTTCCAGAACAATCTACCAAATGACTAAATGTTTGACTTGAAGCGGAAACAGTCTAAACATATTCTGGAAAGGAATTTTTAAAAATTACAGGGTACTATTCGATAAAGCGATCGAATTTCTGTTATTCCAAGTTAAGAATGGTCATGTGGTTATCGAATACCACGCGTCAATGTACGAGAATAAGTTAAATTATTCATCGGATACTTGGATATGAGCCACAATCTAGGTATGAGGGTTAGTGATACCACTTAATTGCCCAGGCTGAAGTTGGTGGTGTGTGGTTCAAAACTGGCTAAAAGTCGGACGCCTTAACTTCTAAACCACTGTTCCACATTAATGTGCAGGACCTACGCGTGAAACTTTACAGACCAGAGGAAACAACAAGACGAAAATGTGAACAGCAGCTGCCAGTAGTTTCATCCTACGTGACTCAACAATAGCAGGATGTTTGGTGCTAGTGGGACGGTATGTTTGACATCAGCACATTCCTTAACTAATTACTAAGAAGCCCCGAGAATGGTTTTCCAGAAAGCATTGCAATAGCAACTTTGTGTTACGAGTTTTATAGTGGATGGACATTAGCAAAGATGACAAACCGGGTACTGGTAAACCTTAAGGATGGAGGTATAGCTCTGGTTAGGAATTTAACTGTACGGCTCAAACAAGCATGCCAAACCGAAAGTGTCCTTTCACTAGATGAAAATGAGGATAATGGTCCAGTTCTAGCAGTTAAATAGACTGGAATCTTAGCTAAAGTCTGGTATCTAGACAATCCCATTTGACTGGGATCTCTAGTCGTTTGTTTATAAGAAAGGACAAAAATCCTCTTGTAACAACCACAGGGGGATCGGTAAGACTAATCTAGTATCTGAAATATCAGCTTCAATAATTTGCCAATTCCTAACTAGGTATCGTGAAAGGTAAACCCAGGAAAAATCAGGCTGGCCTCAGACCTGGACGTAGTCGTATTCACTAAATATTCGCCTGCCGATGTCCGACCATAATTATTTTTTGACCTTGAGACAGCGTTTGACTCAGTTGAACGGGTTTTGTGGCTGTGACTGTCAATGAGAGTTCCAAAAAAGCAAATCAGCTTCGTGCGGGCTCGCTTCGAAAAAAAAACTACTGGTCGCGTCAAAGCTTATGGCTAACTTTCAGTCTATTTTCACTATTTTTATTTAACTTTGTTAACGACATTTGTTCAGAGACAATGCTCTCACTGTCTGAATTTCCAAGGGCTGATCTACCAGGAGATTCATTTGTTAAATTAAAATACGCAAATTATATAGTCCTGTTCGGTGAAGACTTTGATAAAATGCAGTTTTTTGACAGTCTTACATAACAATGCTAGCATGTTTAGGATGCAACCCTCTCCAAATACAAAATGTTTCTTCGGAACTGGCCTGAGTCAACGCATGAATTGACGGTAAAAAGTGAATTCAAGTGCATCAACCGTTTGAGTTACCTAAAGAGCCTCATCACTCCAAATGAGCTGGTTTCTTATGAAATCTCAGTACAGATTCAGAAAGTTCGACTGGCCATTGCTAGCTTGCGTCACTTGTGACGTAGGCAATCAACGGGTAGGTTTACTGAGCAGCAATTTTCTTCGTTCTAACAAATGGCTGTGAAGTGTGGGTTTTAAAAATAGAGAATATTTGTAGGTTACTAATAATCAGTTATGCCTTTGAACTACTGTTTGCGTATTTTGGGACCATAGAGTTAGGAATTCCGAGGTTAGACGATGAGTACTAGGTAAGTATGGTGAGTCGATAGATGGTTTAGTGAATCATTATCAACTGAGGTGATTAGAACATTTATTACATATGGCCATCTACCGAATACCTCAGGACGCAATGATAGGTGTAAAAGTAGATTAAGAGAAAGGCAAAGGCGGCTAAATCAAGACGTGGCACCAGTCTGTGGAGTCAGTAACAGTTGAATTAAGCCATACTAATAACGGATGTAGACTGCCTGGTTTGTGTAAGCATGATTGTCGTAACAAATGGTTAAACTAGATAACATGGCTTAACACCGTTCGTTCTAAATGGCACAGGAGCATTTGCTTTATCTCCCCTTAAAACCTGAGTCCTGAAGTCTCTTTAGACCTCTTTGTTTTCTTTTCCCATATCCAGTATTTCTTTTACTATTACTGATGTCATTACCACTTCCACTACACTGGAACAGGTCACATATACAAAAACCACAAGACAGGCAATAAATGAAAACGAGGCATAGTAGTCTGTTCACTTGATTAACGTCACAGTTTACAGGTTGGACGTGTTGATGAGGACAAATACCTGCACCTATGGTTTTAGTACATGATAATCCGGGTTGGCAAATAAAGGTTCCAAGTCATTTCTGTTTATTCACTTGTATGAAGACCGGGCCGAGTTTATGTAGCATGCACATTGAAAATTGAATCAGGCATTGCGGCGCATAACTCAGATAACTTTCTAACTGAGCAAAACGTTTTTATTATGGATTCCGGGCTAAACAGATTGCTATGTTATGGTAAAGTGTACTTTCAAAGTAAACCACAAAATCTCGAAGAAACTTTGGTAAGGTATGATTTTTAAGAGCATTTGTAATAATTTAGAACTCGCCATTTTGTAGGGAATTTTGTGATACCTAAAGGTAGTTTTGGTCGGTTATATATATGTAAAGAAGATTAATAAAGCTTAGGTATTGTAGTCATTTATCAGACCACTGTATTAACTCTCTCCCTTCCAGCAAAATGAGGATATCAAAGTATCCAATATACTGAATAATTTGAAAGGAAATTTTGCAAGAACTAAAAATCTATCCAAAGACTTTTGCCAGAAACAAACTTTTGTTAGTAATTGTGTCAAAATAAAGCAGCCTTTTCTAAACTAAATACAAAGTAATTTACTATTAAACTTAATAGTAATATTCCCACCAAATCAAAATTGATCTATGAATGTAGATAGCAAGTGTGGAATTCTCCGTCTTTTGATTCAATCTCATTCAACAAATTATTGGCACATCAGACTACTTAAACAAATGCATCATAGGCGGGTGGAATTTTACAGATAACAAGTACATGTATCTCAGTAATTCAACTTCAATACAGTTGAAAACTCACAGTTTTCAGTATTTGGTTAATTTGAGTCTAGCCTGGAGGTACGTTGTGTATCTGGGATCTATAAAGAGCAGTGTGGATGAGGATCTGGAAGAAAAGAGAACAAACAAAAGTGACTCGACAACTCAGCAAAGACAGAACACACTGACATGCAATAATAATAACTAGCTATAACACGAGGGTAAGATTAATAAAATACGGTAATGCAATATGAGGGCGTGAGATCTAAAATACGTTCAGTCCAACTAAGAGTACACAAATGCATATTGAATACGGTAATGAACACCGATGCACCATTAATGGGATACTACTTCCATGAATACATCAACAAAAGGACCCAGGAGTAATTCTAAGTCACGATTCGGAAACTGAGAGTTGTAATGAAGGAGCTGATAAAGTCTATCAATTGATACGATCACTTTAGAGACCTAATAAACGCTACGACAAAGATATGTTTCGAATCTCCAACCCCATCTATGTGAGTCCCTACCTAGTATCCTGCATCCAAATCCTTCGTGTCCTATTAAAGACGCTGACGTACTTGAGCTCGCTGCGTACGAAGTAACATAACTCACCATGAGCTTTTCCTAATATTTTAAGATGTGAGAACAAATTGGGCGAGACTATAATTTATGGACGAACCAATCAGACATAAGATAACAAATCACGAATTTGAGAGCAGAGTTCATCCATACATTCGGCTAAGTAGAGTTTTGGCATTATAGCTGATGTCAGTTCGTGATGAAAACCCTAAATCTAATTTTTAACCCTACCCAAAAACTGTAAATGAAAATTCTAACTGCTTTATAACAATCATTTAGTCCTAATCGGTAGTTGTTCACCCTCAAGGCCACCTCAGTGTCGCTCAAAGGTCGTCCATAAATTATAGTCTCACCCTGTGTTAATCCTGACAGAGTTCCTCCCACCGGAGGTCCAGCTTCTTGAAAGTATTCACTGATGAGGCTGATACTACTTGTTCAGGTTAGGCGTATCTTGCTAACAGGGTGCCCGATCTCCGGATTTTGGGGAGAATCTGGAGTTCCCCACGAATTTATGTGAAAATTCATCGTTTTCAAGAAAGTCCGTGGAGATCTTTGGGGTTTTTGCTTCGTTTACCTAAGCCATAGCTTACCCCAGACAAAAGTGTTCCCCAAGATCAAGAGATGGGGAAAAGTGCTGTCCTTTAAGAAGTTCGTACTCTACACAGTGATTTTTGTGCGAACATTTTTGATTCATTTGCTTCCTCTATGGCTTATCATATCCCAGGCCACTAGGAGAAATCTTAAAGTGGGATCTCATTCCTCTCGAGTGTTCATTGGCTACAACACCCCAACCGAATATGTGGCACAAGCCCCACCGGTAAGTGATTTTGAGTAAAAACTGAGTATTTACCGAAACACATCGTGAAGATTAACATAAACTAACTGACCACCCTAAGCGAAACCCTCGTTCAAAATCCGCTCTCCAACAATATCCAATATCCAATCTTAGTGATTTTATTGTACGAACTAATGAGTTTCTAGGTACTCCTCTTTTGACTTTGGGTAATGACTCCATATTTTTCATACCATAACAATAACTATTCTTTTAAACTCTCGTCAACCACGAGCGCGCTTTTTGAAGGAAAAGTTTAGTCCTAACTTGATTTGTATTACTCAAACTTGTGCTGTGTTCCTACGCAACGAAAGTACCATTTCTGACCTAGAGTATCTATTCTGGGCAATACTTTTAGTAGATTGCTTTTTTTAGTTTCAGTCAACTTAATAGCTAACTGCGGTTTTGCCTCAGCTCACTATTCGGTTTTGTTTTTAGTTTTTCACGTAAAGACTAGTTTCACTTTATCCTAACCCGTTTTTATCCATTCTGACAGGTCTTCTAAATACGTTTTTCAACAAACCTGAAAAAGACAGTCATGAAACGGGTAGACAAACAAGGATGCGCAGTAAAAACTAGAAGAGGGTTGTCGACAGGTCTACTATCGATGGAGCATGCAACAGTACTAGTGATGACATGCTGAAACTCTGCACCATCGTAACGTCGATATTAATCAACTCCCTCAGCAAATGGTCCCTGAATGCAAAGTTGGTTTCCATAAACTCTGCAGGTGATTGGACGCACGTTAACAGAGTTAAAAATGTGCAAGCGTCACCGTCTAAGCTGAACATCCCAAGTATTGTACGGAAACCAACTAGCGAATTGACCACTAAGTCTACCCCAAAAATGTCCGTCCGGTCATCAAAGAGCCTAGGAATCAAAAACGCGCTTCGACCTCTAAACAATAAGGTGCTGAACCTGAACGCACCGGAAAACCTGGGGAAATAGTAACGGTTCGTGATGACTCATAATCATGAACCTTGAAGACAAGCTTGACGTTCCTAGAATAGAGCCCTTGATGGTCACACGACTCACTCGGGAAAGGACTCTAACCATCAAAATCACCCTAAGCTACTTCGTATAACACTCAAGAATGCTGCCGTCGTAGAGGATGTCCTGCTAGCTAGTCATTTACTGAAATCCGATGGGAACGTAAGAATACTGCCTGGCATGCCGTATTCTGTGCGCAATCTCATCCGAAACATCGCTAAAGAATCTCACGAGTTCTTCCGCGGAAGAAATATCGTTGTGCAAAGTATACTGGAAAACACGGACCCTGTAAGAACAAAGTCTGATATTGGGGAGGGGAAATTCATCAAGCAATCCTTGAAGCTCAAAAACATACTGACTCAATATGTGACAAGACTAGCCAAGAAGGACAGTGATTCTAGACCCCGGCTAATAAGGATAACTTTCCCGTCCTCCCATATAGCGGCTACAACACTAGAAGCGTTCCTTGTCAACGGACGTCGGTTGCCAACTGGGATCCATATGAATCCGGATAGGTCACATGACACCAGGACCAAGCAAAAAGGCAAATTGGAGCTGACCATTCCACTTGTGGATTGTCTTGATCATCATAAAACGTGTAAAGGACAAGGGCTACAAACTTAACAAACATTATATGGGTAGACTACCTCGTACAGACAAACAGGAAGAAGCTCACACGTTTCAAATTGAAAGCATAAACTGCTGATACATGAATGCCGCGAGTCAACCAGATGAAATGGATGAGCTACGTGGACTTTGCAATGCTAATAAGGCTCATCTGATAGGAATATCTGAAACTTGGATATCTTCTCAGATTACGGACCAGGAGCTAGCAATACTTGGAGTGTCTTTATTTCGCAACGACAGAAAAACAGGAGTTGAGGGTGAAGTTGCCTTATGCATACGATCATGCCTGGAGGCACATCGAGTTCACAACCAAGAGTTTGTCAATCTTGATGAATCCGCATGGCGCTCTGGAAGATTGTCTACCACCTCGAGGTGTCTAGTTAGGGTCATCTATAGGAAGCCCACTGCTGACATCAAGTACGACAATCGTATGCTGGAAAGATTATCCCGCTTTACGCGTGTCGGATTCACTCATATCCTGATTCTAGGGGACTTCAATCTCCCTAGAGTCAATTTCGCGGAACATACGTATATTGGAGGTGAAAACTCAACTGCAACTCAGTTCTTCAACCTCATTGAGGATCTGGGATTATTCGAAAATTTAAAGTCGGCAACTCGTTGGAGGGACAGCCAGACGCCGTTGACAACCTCTCAATCCTGGCTCCCCTAGGGAAAAGTGATCACGCCGTTATAGCTTTCAGTTTAGCCAGCAAAACTGAGTTAAGATATCCCACCAACAACAGGCGCTGGAATTTAAACGGTTGAATGTGTCAGCTCTACAGGACTATCTACAACAGGTGGATTGGGATGTTCACTCTCAACTTGATGTGGATGCTCACTGGGACTTCCTGCTGCATACGCTCTTATGTGCTACAAAGCAGTCTGTTCCTCAAACGGTCCCCAATAGTTACAAGCAACCTAGAATCATCAAGAACTGCACTCTTCATCTGCTAAGCCGCGAAAGGCACTGTTGGGCAGAATACAAACTTACTGATGATAACGGCGCGAACAGGCAATAAAAACATATGAGGAACATACGCACAAAGACAATAAGAGAAGACGGTCTTCAGTACCAAATAAAGCTTATCGATAAATTTGTTTCCAATCCGAAAAGCTTAGTCCTTTATGCAGCTTCTCTTCGACAAGCCAAAACTGGGGTTTCCCAACTGCTAGGTCCTAATGGCCCGACAATAACGACGGTGACGCCGCTATCCTTTCGGCTGAACAGTACTCTCGGACATCCCAATCGACCGACATCAACTATATTAATGAAAACAGAACGGACTGTAGACACGACTTCTACTCCTTAAGAGTTGTCAAACGCTGAAATTTGCTGACGGCTGGGCTAGTCCAAGCGACTTCCCAGAAGTCCTGTAAGAGGAAACCTGACATATTCTTAAGGAATAAGGATAATATCTTACTATGATTTACCAACTTCTTTTTTCCTCTATTATCGCTAATCTACCTAGGTTTCTGCCTGGAGGTAATGGTGATGCACTGCTACTAGACACGGAAACTCGTTAAACGAAAGCTTTTTGTATTCCGTCCACAACCATTTGAAACATTTTACCTTTTCCCTTTCTCTTTTTTATTGGTAGTGGTAAATTAATCTCTAATATGAATAGTACTGTATGTCTTTGACATTGATTCTTACCACATTGGTTCTGGTAACCTTGTAGATCACCAACGTAGGTGATCCATGTTGAAATGATTGGAGGCCTAGTTGACTTGACGGGAATGGGTTGACGAACCAGCTAACGTCGAAGTAACACCTCGTGATCAGCACCTTACGTGGACTACCCCATCGACGAATCAAGGTACCATAGATGCTTTGTAGACTGTACAACACAGAGGACGTTATTACAAAAATATATTAGTTAAAATAGATGCAAGCAAAAGTAAGACCACTGCCGCATGGGCCAGTCCATGGCGTACGAGTAACCGATGCGCGTTGGTTGTCCTTGACCTTGACGAGGATCGATGATTTGTTCGATATTCAATGACCCAACTGCCGGATGATTTGGCTAGGGCTTAGTGACATTTCGCTGGCCCTACAACCTTACTCTTCCAGAACGCGCCGTTTTTAGTCTGTTTTTCAGATACCCAAAAAATACCATCGCGAGTGTTGGCTATCGGATGAGGTATCTTAAATGTAAGGCTGGTGTCATTCGATTATTCCGAAGGAAAATCCACATGAACAGGGTTTCTATCTAAGTACGTGGCTCTAATGAGATCGATGCTGATGCTATCGTTAGTTCCATTCTTATCGTTTATACATTACTTAGGTTCACGCTGAGGAGCTTTGAAAGGTCCTTCGCATGTTGTTTCGAGAGGTCGTCGAAGTGAGTAGCGACCTTCAGCTTTCATGGGAGCGTTTCCTCTTCCTCACGTCTTTAATCATACCAGGCCAGCTAAAGCGTCCTGTTGTGTGCTTAATAGTTGCATGGACACCTGGATCAGAAAGGTTGTGTAACGTATTAAAGACGTTGCGTCGACAATGTTTCGACATAGTTGGACGATCCGTACCTGCAGGTGTGTCACATAATAAGGTTTCCTTACATGCCCACAACTACTTCGTATGCAGTTTTAGGGTTGTTCAAGATAACTCGTGCTGAGGACAATTGTCTTCTTTTTGAAGCTGGGAGGATTTAAGAAGGTCGATTCCTTGCAAACTGTTGAAGGAAGTTGTACGAGACAAGGAGTCTGTAGTGGAATTGGGCCCTGACCACACAATCATCAAAGCTGAACACGAGACGATTGAGGAGATAGATGTTCAGCATTTAACGAGGAGAAAACCCAACAATGGAGAAGGCGGGTACAATGAACAGAATTAATTCGAATCGATCAGATGGAATGGCTCGGCCTTGTAGGAGTTGCTATCCTTCAATGTTGTTATGCAGCTTTTATTCATATTAAATATATTTTTCTATTTCTAGCCTTCGTTCTCTATCATACATTGATGATCGTTACGACGCAACGAGTTGGTGTAGATAATAATGTGACTTCCACGTAAGATTAGGCAGTTACATCATGAAAAATGTACAATTTTAGGATTGCGTCTATTATGTCATACTAGACTATAATTCAACAAGTTTGCAACCACATTGTTTGCCCCAGAAATGTGTCGTATACGTGAAGTGAACTGTGAAATATAGTCCAGTGCTTGTCTGAGGATGAGCTTAAAGAGAAGGTATGAGGTTTGTGATCAGTGAAAAGAGTGAGTTCTCGGCCTTCAACGGAGTGTTGAAAGTGCCGTACAGCACATTACATGACTAGGAGTTCCCTACCGAAACTGCTACACCTCAACTCAGTGTCTAGCGACTGTCTTGAGAAAAATGACAAAGGTTTCCATGTGTGATTGATACATTGCTGTAAGACCCCTCCAATTACCAAGCCGGATGCATCTGCTCTGATGCTATGGGTGCTTGGGGTGTCCTGGTGTGCAAGCATGATTGCTTTTGCAATAAGTTCCTTAATTGTCAAGAATGCTTTTCTCGTGGTATCTTCCAAATCGATGGATTTTTCATTTCCACGAAGTTGGTAGGTTAGAGGTTTCATAAAAGACGCGCAGTTCGGTATGAACCGTCTATTGAAACTTACTAGTCCGTTAAATATACGTAACTGATTGATTGTGGTCGGTTCTGAGTAATCCAGAATGGCCGTCACTTTGCTTTTGAGAGGTTGGATGCCTTGAGCATCGATAAGAGGTTCGAGGAAATCTAGGGAATCGGTTCTGATTTGACATTTCCGAATGTTTACAGTAGTGCCGTGCCTTTTTAGTCGCTGGAAGACAAGGTCCAGATGCTGGAGATTCTTTATGCGGACTTGCGATCAACCAGTCATCATTATACTCATGTACGAAGTTGAAACCTCGAAAGACGTCATTGATGAATCTTTTGAAGGTTCGAAGATGCGCAAAACTCGTAGAAACCGAAAGGAGTGATGATAGAGGTTTTAGAAATGTTGTCAGTAGTCATGGACATCTGATTATGTGTTTAACAAAGTCGAATTCCGAAAAAAAATTTGTACCTTTCAAGACAGCAGTCAAATCGTGAACATGAGGCAACGGGTAAAGACTAAGAATGGTCACCAGTCGGACGCCAGTCGTTGCTGTCCTTTTTAGGGAACACATGGAAGGGCTGTTTGATGGCCGAATGATCCCTAAATCTATCATATTATCGTATTCGTTTTTAACTAACCTCAGCTTTTCGGGAGCCAGTCACATTCGAGAATACGGGTGGTCCTGTTGTTGCGATGTGATGTGTAACATTACTTGTTACACACGGCGATTTCGGTTGCATTTGCAGGTTTTTCTGCGATTTCGAGAGGAGTTTCTATGCTGGTCATGATGTCAACACCACAAGTCTTTATAATTTGACAAAGCTCTAACTAGTAACACTCTCTGTAATTGAATCAGGCCCACCCAGTGAAATCAAAATTCAGAAGCGAGGAGGTTCGCAGATATATTTTATATGTTATCAATATATCAGTAAGTGACTGATTTCAGCCGGGGAGCGGTTGCAGAAGTTGAACATGGCGTTCTCTTTCGTGATCTGGTGCGAGTGCTTGGTAGAGCGCTTTCATATGGGTGATTTTATTAGAACTAATCTGGTCAGAATCCAATGTCGAAAACTTACAGAGCTATTGATTTTAGGGATTTAGTGACCGCCAAAACCATGTAAACACTCAAGATTTATTGTCACCTTTTGTAAGGTGACTGACTACATCAGAATATTTTGTTTTTATTTGTCATCTCTACAGCAAAAAGCTTGAACGATATACGGAATGCCCGCCGTTTGCCAGGCCGTTCAAGGCCGTTGAAACGAAACGGCGGGCAGCTTCGTAGGAGTTTTTTTCCGTGGTAAATGTAAGTATACTGTGTTCTCGCGAGGTTGTCGACTTACTTTTTCTTTTGGTCTCTTTTCCATCCCTCGCGTTGCTCGGCGAGACTATGATTTATGGACGACCTCTGAGCCAAGCTACACTGACCTTGAGTGTCCACCTAATATCTAGCACCAAGTCAGGGTTCTAAACCTGTGTGAGGAATTAGAATTATGTTTTACAGTTAATGCTTAAGGTTAGGAATTAGATTTTGGGTTTTTATCACGAACTGTCATAAGCTATAATGTTAAAACTATTTAACCAGATTGGATGAGTGAATTTAGCACCGATATCCGAGGCCTATTATCTGATACCTTATTGGTTCGTTCATAACTTATAGTATCGCCAAAATATGATAATAATGATATAGCCTATTTATTCCTGTATCACGTATTCAGTCTGTTTCCTACCAAACTACATAGGGTCTACTTAACCAGACATCAAATATGCTATAAAATCAATTTTAGACGGTTTTGTTAACGGTGACATTCGATAGTGTAATAATCAAGATTAATCAGTAGTTAGAATTGAGAGGTGTAATCTAAATATATACTGGCTACCGACCCGAGCTCCCAAGTTTGGGGGGAATTTCGGGGTACTTTGGGGAGACTCCCGAAGTCAAATGACCCTCACCAATGTTTAGGAAATTCTGGGGGAATTTTGTGAAAATCCCCAAAGTCAAATAACCTTGACCAAGGTTAAAGGGGAATTTTGGGGTTTCAGTGCCATTTCCCCAAAGTTTACTATAGCGGCTTCCCCAAAATGGGGAGCTCGGGGAGTCCCACTATCCTCCAATTATTTAGGGAACTTTCCATTTTATATCAAAAGATTGCTTTTCTGTTGTCTCGTGTACAACCAAAACTACGGAAAATCGTTGTGTTAAGACCAACTAATCCTGTTTTGATAGAGTACAACTATGCTATGATGACAGAGTATTTGACATCAAGCATCTAGGGGGGGGAGTGGCTCGAGCCAGTTCCAGACTGTACTATTTTCTCTAATAGTTATGTTGTTCTTTGCTTGTTTATTTCTCACATTTTTGGCATTTTAGTATCAAAGAATCTTCTTTGTTCTATGGGCCTCTGCCAACTGACTGTTCCATAAGAAGTCGTTACTTCCCCGCCATAAATGAAGCTAAGTAGCTTTCCACCGTCATCAGGAGTCGCTGTTCAGGTGAGATTGCAACTTTCGTTACTAGTTATTACTTAATAATTAGATGCAGCCATCTCGTAAATATGTTTTCTATCCACAGGATCTCCCAAAGAAATATTGTTCGAGGCCAGCATGTTTGGGAATTTAAATGAATTATTTAGATACAGTCCGTGGTTTTCATTGGGAACCAAAGTTACTTCACACTATAACTATAGTTAGTGCTAAACCTTCTGCCCATCATTGCGATATTCATTGCTGAACCGTATAATCTACCAAGGTTATTTAATCTCATTTACTCGAAAAACAGTCACTCATTCAGACTTCAAGTTCATTAATATCAACGAGTTTACATGTTTTTATTATTGTTACTCGTTAAATTCCCAATCCTTCTTACTGTCTGTGATACTACACTTACCACTTGAGTATTTGTCTTGATAATTCTACTCTACTTTGCTGATATTGCGTGGCGACTTAAACCATGAGACATGTCAGGTTCTACATTGCTCGTAACTAACTAACTAATATAACATTTCAGGAGTATGTAGCAAGCACCGATTAAGATGACATGACTTCATTTATTTTAATCCGATACATATTCTGGTACACTTGGGGATCCTTCACACAAATAAAGATACGATGTCAAGGCGTACAGGAGAGAAGCGTGGTGCGGTCAAAAAATAAACAGTAAACCAAGAGTGTGTAACAGGAGATACAGCTGAATTATAAATGCAACCAAGAAGACCCTTCGGTTGAGTAGGCTCTATCGCCCCATCTTTCAGAGCTGTTTCCAGAATGTCATGAATAACAAGCTGAAAAATAAAGCGGATCGTGCAGGACTATCCAATCCCACTTATGAATTAGAACGATTGAGAGGTGGTTGTATGCCCTCACTTTGCTTAAGTTGTTTGTGCACGGAGTATTCTGGATGTTGTCGAAATTCTCAGACACCTCTTCAACACACAATTACAGAGCAGTTCTGTTCAATAAATAGAAGACACTTGATATCAATAAACACAACAGTTGTTATCCCTAAACAACCGTGGTGGTCAATAAATCCACGACCTAGTCGAAAACAACCTGCTCTTCATGAGTCAATCTTTCACAGGCTCTAAACAATCTTTGTTTTATTATTTCTTTATTACACATAAATATTGGTACGAGAGGGCACCAAATATATATGCGCCACACGAACATGAACAATCTGCAAAGTATGACGGAAGCCAGTAATTTAGATACGATTGAGAGTGCACTTATCCCACACTAGTCGTTACACGGATTATACCGACTATAAAGATGGAGACGACGATCGCTTTATTTCATGATTTAGAAAACTTTTTTTCAGACTTCTTAAAACAACCTTGCTAGCTCCCTGACCAAAACTCGCTACTTCCCTCAGAAAGGGCCGGAGATAGGTCGTTTGGTTTAAGTTAACTCATGTGACAGAAACGTCTCGAATCGACAGATGGATATTAAACCTATCGTATTTCCCTCAGAATCTCAGAGATGTAGTGTACGAAATCATGGATTTCCAAAACACACAGATTGAAAGCAATTAGTCCTTTCTTATTTTTAGAGGATATTTTTTATGATTCTGATATAATTTTTTAGTGTAAATCGGTGAACACTAGTGAAAATCGGTCGAATGTTTTAGGCATATACTGTCTTTCGATCCATGGTCAGTTCACCAAGACTAGCTAGTCACGTGTTTCGTTTACAGCATTGCCATTCTACCTCAATATAAACATAAATACCTGCTAGTCTTTGGGGAGTATTTCCCAAATAGTAGGTGTTAAACACGTCAAATATTATGGGGGCTCCTCAAGGACATCTACGAAACCGTATTTCGTCAACTTTGCTTTGATAGTTCAGATGGAATAATTTGTCTCAGGTAATAATTATTCTGGAGTATCTCTTATGAACGGAATTGCTCGTTGGGATCGATAATCTTCATTTAGATTATTAAGTTGGGTTGACCAGTCAAGTTTTTGTTGCAATAAAGATCAGTGAGCAACGTATAAAGAGAAACGACCACTAGTCGGTTGGGGTCATATAAAAACTGTAGATCGACTTTTAATTGTAGTTATTGTTGTGTTTATATTACCATTTTAGTTCATCATATGTTTTGAAAATATCGTCATAATTACTTTAGCGGATAGCTTTTTGATGTCGCAAACATTTTTACGAATATGCTTCTACAATTATTTGTTAGTTTTTTCATTTTTTTTGTTCACAGCCTAATGTACGATGTTTAGTCGGGTTGTATGGATCTCTTAAGGATTCCAGCTTTGAAAACCTCAATCGACTAGTAGAAGAAGATCGAGATGAACAAGAGATTTTGCGATATGCGATAAGTCACGAAGAGTCTGATGAAGTTCGATTTTTAGTTGGATCTCAGTCTCTGAAGCCACAAGGTAGTCAGGTAAGTTTTACATCCCTTGAAATCTGCACTTGAAAGTTTTTTCTCTCCCTAATATATATATATATATATATATATATATAGTATCGCTACACAACAATATTTGTTTCGTCCACTAATGAATTAAGAGGTTTGGTGCAACAGAGCATTGAAAGTGTGTCATATTAAGAGAAATGACAATATTGCACATAAACGAAAGGGAAAACAGTCCTGTAATCAAGTATGTTAACAACGACAGTAATTAGTTCTAAATACAACTTAACTGAAAATACAATCAAGACAAGTTCATACTTAATGAGGCTCATCGTATCGGGGATCTGGGCATAGACTAGAGTCGCTTGGGTGGTCAGTGGGTACTCAGTGATCACAAGTCAGATAATGATGACTGTCTTCAGCACCTTTTCATGGACCACCACCAATTTTACCCAGCACATTCACAACCGGTTTCACCTGGGATCCTCCTACTGAAACTCAAGTTTAGACTCAGACTAGTCATACCAAGATCAGCTAGCACTGATGTGCTTATGTAAAAGACTCGCTCTTTTTAGAGTGCCTATCTGAACTGTGATCATGCTCTGGCTTGCTCCAAGCTCATCTTGCCTGTCGGTGGAGAGAAAATTTTCTAGACAGATCGATATAAGAAACCCACCTGCCTCAGTTTTGGCATCCAGGCTGTATCTCAACCCTCAACCAAATAACGATAATTATCAGTGAAGATAACGAACCACTCGCTTCCCTAATTATATAAGTTATAACTATAATTATTTTATCAGTTGCAAATTCGATTTATTTCACTTCGACTTTCGATTTCGTTTTATTTCTTTATTGTACACACTTATCATTACTTGAATCTTTAACTCACTTAGCAGCTCATCTTCGTTAAGAATTCTATCTTGTTTAAACGGTGTTCAGTCGTTGAATGGTTGATTTCTAAATACTGTTGTCGAACTGGACATCATTGTGATAAATGCGGCTTAAATTCCAGACTAAAAGTCGACCATTGCAGTGATATTTTGGTATTGAACCAATCATATACTGAGTAGTATCAATTATCTGGCGTAGGACCTAGTTATTAAAGAAACATGTTTATTCACTATATTTACTTTCCATGGAATTCTGATTTCAAAGAATGTCTAACAACTGCTAATTTATCTGCTTGTATATTTAGTTGTTCGTCTTCGTAAAGAATTCAGTAAATTGTATGTAATCAGCCCATCTCATTTATTATCAGTTCATCGAGTTTTTGATTACGCTTGTTTTCTTTCCACATTTTTTGGTAGGTCACTTTGGTAACACTTGTGGAGTCATTAGATATCGACTTAAAAAAACAGACTTTTGCACATCCGAATGGAGAGGTTACTTCATTGGTTACACTGGCATCTAAACCAGATTGCTTTATATCACTGTCAGCATCATGTAAGTTTTGTTGGCATACGGAATTTCTTATACGGATACCTGCTTTGAAGATTTTTTTTGATTAGCGAGTGACTCATAATAAAGCTTATACCGACAGACCTCTTAATTATACCCTCAACTAGAACAATAATACTGGTGTACGTTTTTCAGTTTACCGGCATGATAGATGAATACTAACTAAAGAAGGATAAGCCGATAGGTATTTACTATTGTTATATGGAATTAGGTACAAATATGTACCGTTATTGTTAGGACAGCTCGCAAGTAAGATGTTTTATTGAAGTTACAAGTAGTTTCATACTCATTCTTTTGAATCTAATGATTTTTCATCATACACAAAACTAATGGTTGAAGTTTACATTAGAAGCATATTATCAAGGAAGTAGATTGCTTTCTATGTTCAATTTAATTGAAACAAGTATTTCCCGTGATAGCAGCTTTTCATATTTAACAAAGGTGTTAATATTTTGTTGGATGAGCCTTTGGAATCTGAGGCTTCGATTAAAATTTTTGTTATTGAGAACTCTTGTTCTGATAAACTAAAATCCATCAACTATTAAAACATTCCATATATTTATCGACTTGAAGCCCTTCCAAACAAAACTTCGGGTTGAAATGATTGCTTTTAGATACTACTCTTTATTTCCTTTATTAAAATATGGACCCACAGTTAAGCAGTTCTACATCAAAAGAATAGTAGGTTAGGATATTTTTTATTGTAGTGTAAACAGAATAGAGAATCATACTACGAAGTGCGTCACTTAAAAATGATTTTTTGTTCTCAAAGTTATAAACGAAGGTCAGAAAAAGAACTCAGTGAAATGCGACTATGTTAATTTTTCATCTTTAGTGATTGGGTTTGATGTCTTATCGTTTATTGGCTAAATGACGACTTGGTCGCCCAGTTACCTTCCTTTTTTTCATCTTTTGCGTTTGACTTTCAATCCTTTGACCCCAAGTTCGAACTCTGCTGTGTTAACTTCGGTTCGCATAACCTCATAAACTTTATAACAAAATTTGAGCCAAAATTGAGTAATAGAATCCAGTTACAAAGTTGTATGACATTACTGATGAATACGAGTGATAACTTGGTACCGACTCATATGCATGAGCTCAAACATTTAACAGAAATAAACATCGTTTCGTTATTAAAAATTTGTCGTTGTTTTTGTGTATTCCTGTTGTTGGCATTCAGGACTGCACCTGATTAGTGTCTGCTAGCAAATAAAATCCTCGAGCGGATCCCTCGATATTTCATGTAGCTATAAGTTAGAAATATTTTTGGAACTCAAGTTTCAGTTGAGTACACGTGCTTCCTATTTTGAACATTCAATGGATCTGTATTAATCGCACCTGTACGTAGTTTTATTTTTGGTGCAATATATGCAAATAACATCCACCCAGATGTTCAGTAAATGAAAATAGAATCTGGTTTAAAATTTCAGATATAGTCACCAAAATATCCCAGTAAATTTAGCTAATAAGGATCAAGTGTTTCATTGCGCATTTAAAAAAAACATACCACAAATAATTGCTGTCAACTAACACGAAACTGAACACGTAGAATTGAATTACTGAACCAAATGGTTAAGTTAACCATTTTTATTATATATATCATACTGTATACCACAAGAATATTCTACCTAATTTGCTTTGTTTTTATTACTTAGATTCAAATGAACGACCAGAACTTCGTAATAGTGCTCGACTTTGGAGAATACCTAATCTTAACGAAACTTTATTAGACGATGCTATGATTGAATCAAATCTATCAAAATCACCAGTAGATAACAATAATTCATCTACGGCGAATAATTCATTGGATTATGTAACTACACTACCATTAGATAAATATCATAGCATCAAAAGGTAAATATTTTCTGTTTTGTTTAACGAAAACGTATCAGTTTTATGATATTGAATGCATGGGTTTATATTATCATTAAATTGTAATTATCAACTAATTTTTAATCCTATCTATCTGAAATAAGAAATTATGAGCGGTTCTAAGATTATTTAATTGAATCATTAAAAAAATTTACGTGAAATCAATGCTTGTGAATTTTGCGCTACTAACTTACGTGCGAACTAAGTTATCATACATCTAGTATAGACATTTTTCAATTCAAGTTATTCTAATTAATTTTTATCAGTAATATCCATCGTCTTTTTACCATATGGGGGGATAAATTTTTGCTATCTACTTATTTAGTTAAAGATAGGTAGTGGCTAGCAGTGGGATTCAGTATACCTACTTCTTTCTATTTGGGACTCGTCAACTGGGTGTTGATGTTCACACTGTGACGAGTCTAATACTGTCCAGTTTGGACGTCTGACGCGTTACTAGCTAAACTACTTAGTCTAGATAGCCACTGGTTTGTACAACGTAGATGAATCTTACTGTTTATACGTAATTGTTGGAATCTTCCAGTTGTTAATGTTAAGGACTGAATTTTGATCAGTCTCTTTTGGTATGTTTACATCTTGAGCGGATTGCTTCTATGTTGTCACTAAGCCATAAGTATTTACGCCCCCGAATGCCCTGCTACGGCCGAGAGTGGGGAGAGTCAGCTCTCTCTTTCTGTTTCTCGAAATGCTCTCACATGAACATACATATACAGCCACTGTCAGAGAAGTCCTACTCACTGCCTTCTCGTGGCGGGGGTGTTTCTTACGAAATTGAGAGGACGAAAACTAATGTCTAGCGCTTTAACCGGGTTAGCGGATATGGAGGATTCACCTAAAGGAGTTAGAAAACCCTGATTCCAAATCACTAGTGCACACGGGCTAGATTGACTTCAGTAATGTTCAGCGAAGTGTCATACAAATTTAATTGGATGTACCATGTATTTAGGAACTCTACGATTCGCCATCATATTCCAACCTGCGACCTTAAAATCCTACACTCTACTCAAATTATAATAAACAATTCACTTGTAATCAAATCTTTTTAGTCTAATAACTATGAAATCCATAGTCTAATGATAGTTTGTTTTCCTGGATATGTCATCATGATATGATTTTAATTTCTGCAGGATATTTTAAATATAATTTGATATCTATGATGGTATCAAATTGGTAACTCATCTATGACTATATTATCCTCGTAATTCTCACTCTTCATTTAGCTTAAAGACAGAAATATCAAACTTTCTGCAATAGTCGTTGAGTTGTTCATCCTTCTTACATTGGTGTTAGGATTTGTCAATCGTCCTAGTTAACGAAACACCATCCAATATAGTTGTACGCTATCTTTCATCATATGAGATAATGCTCTACTAAACCATTGACGTTATACTTTCATGTTCCCAGATGGTCTGATAATTGATCGAGTAGTCAATCGTTTCCTTCTCCCAGTTTCGGTTAACTTACGTTATGAAAAACTAGTCAATAACTGCTGGAAGTTTGAATGTCATTTGTAAGACCGCCACATGCTACCGTCAGCGATTGAAACTTCGTCTGCCGTCTGTTAGGTTAATGACTTACCTGGGATAGTAACAAACAGTTTATTTGTAGATTGCTACCTTAACCTTGATTTCGTTCAGTACGATTGTTATTTCTGATTATTACAAAAATTCAATTTCGAACACCATTCTAGTCTGGCGGTTGACCCAAGGGTCTTATAACTTTTTAAAATGTTTTTAGTCTACTTGTATGCGAAGTCTTTTAAAAGTCCCTTCATTTTTTTAATTTACAGGATTACATCACATCCGTCTAGTACGTGCTGTGATTTAGCCTGTGTTGTCGGACCACCTATTGAAATGCCTGGGTAAGTAATTTTTTTACTCTTGGTGTATTTTATCTTGTCATTTTCTTTATGAATCTTTATACCAATTTAATTCCCTATATTTGTTACCGACAGAGGTTAGTGAACATACAGTTTCATGAATTGAATGAAGTTGAAAATGGTAACCACTGAATATCAGCTCAGTGATCTAAATGCAATATCATTATTACAAGCCTGAGGTTTCTAGGTTCGATCCATTGCAATGTAATATGTAGCACGTAATAATTTTAGTACTAAAGCGAAATAGCTGTCCAGTGCCGTTGGTTTTTCGTGGTTTTTGAATCAAATCTAGCTCATGATATAAACTTTAAATTGTATGATCTCCACAAACTTTTCCTTATAGACTGTTTTGTTTATTTTATATATCTCCTGCAATATATTTACAGTTCAGCTGCTTATTCTTCCCTCGTAACCACTGCAACGACAAGCTATTTAGTCATACTTAAAGCTTCATCAAATTCAAATTCTAGTGATTATCAAATCAGTACAAGTGTACAGTTATATTTACCACCTTCATCTCCAAGTGATAGTTTACGTACAAATATGAAGTCATCAACTGGTTGTTTATCAACTACTGCATCACCTAACGCTATTCGTTGGTCTCCACATGAACATTCAAATCAACTTGCGATAGCTTTTGATAATGGTATACTAGGATGGGATGTTCGATGTATGAAGTAAGTTCATCTCGTTTATTGATTTCAGCGATCCATTATTTGACTTAGATGTGTTTAGTTGAGAATTTGAAAGGCATAGACATGTAAACTAGTGATGTATAAGAATACGCCAGTCACTGACCAGTTCACCAAAAGTATAAACCATGGGCTAAATTTTATATTTGTCCAAAACTTCATAACTGAATTGATTGTGTAACTTGTAATTCGAGTGTGATATTAGACATGGACCGGAAGTGTACTTAAGTCTCAGTTAAGTCTTGTATTTTGTTGCTTGAAAGTAAGGCTAGGTGTGTAATATATATATGTTCAAAAAATTAGATATCTGGTCTATTTTCATATCGGAACGGTGAATGTTAGTGGCTAATTTAAGAAGAAATTGTTGATCAAATCATTCCAGATATTTTGTATTTATAATTTATGTTTATAAGAACAACCAGTCAGTAGTTAAAAAAATAATATACTGTGTAAAAATAATCTGTTTCCTAAAAGGCCTAGTTTCTGGATGGAAAATGCCCATTGGCCATGTGTTAGAGACATTGATTACAATCCTCATCGTCCTAATCTGTTAGTATCCGGTGGAGACGATGGAATCATGAGACTTTGGGATCTTCGCTATTTACGCACAAGATATCGCTGTCTGTCTACCACTGCCGCTGTTTCAGCAAAAAACACAGCTATTTCAAATGCATCTGAAAGAATTATGCAATACGGCACGGAACCAACTGTTCAGCCTTTGTTCGCAATCGCATCTCACTCTCATTGGGTTGGTTTCTTTTTCGATGTCCCACTCCTAGCACATATTTTGAAGTCAATTTAATGACACATATTTCTATTTTATTGACAGTGTGTAAGATTCATCAGCTTTAAAAGTTTATTTCTGAATTGAAGCTTTTAACGATAAACGCATCAATCTCGCACTACGCGTTTATTACCACTGCAAGTTAACCAAAAAATGAAGATACAAGTATATTATACTGATGACCTTGGTCGACTTACCAACCAATCAGGAAGCACTGTGTAGTTATAAAACAGCTAATAATAAAAAAAACAATGGAATAATGGTTTTGATACAACTGATTGACCCATACATGTCAGATTTTTAATTGTGGTAAAGAAAAGTGGTTAAGTTTATGTATTGTTAGTTGGATTAGCCTTACGAGCAAGGGTTATAACCTTACATGGTTTTCATCATTAATTGGCGTTAGCTGTAATTAATAAATAAAGGCTTAGGCTAGGTAACAAGAGTTAAGCTAGAACTATTCATTGGGATTATTAGTTAAGGTCAATGTTTTCATCACTAACTGACGTCAGCTATAATGCAATAATACTTTGGAACATTGTTGTTTACTTTAGAGTTGATACTGCAAGTCAGGGCTTAGAGTGGAAAAATACTATCCAGCTGCTCAAACACCACTGACTGTGCATTGATCCATACCAAGCACTTTAACACAATATCCGCATCAAGAACAGGTATTCCTTGTAATTTAACTTAAGTACCGTGTCATATTCACTGTGTATTGTAGATATTTCAATCAAAACCAAACATTTTAGGAACCTTATATTATCAACTTTCATTTAGTTAATAATAATATACAAGCTATTTTACAACACACTTTCAATTTCGCGCAAAATCCATGGGACGCTATTTTAATTCTGATTGTTTACTTCAAGGCCGTCAATATAGTATACATTTACCACAAATAATTCGTTTGTATTTAACCACTATACGTACCAATACTGTCCTGACACTAATTTTATTATTTTGGTTCCATTCACTACCTTTACACTTGACTCATTTTTACGAGATAACATAAAACCTACAGTAATCCAAAAAAGCACATTGAGAAATGGGAAAAAATTAAAAAAGTGGAATCAGTCGATTGTAATTTATTGTTAGAAATATTTTCACAATTGATTTATAAATGTAAAGATGGATGGTATGTACATTAACAACAGCCATACTTTTTAAAATTATCGGTCTAGAGTTCTTCAGACAATCCAGACTAGTGCTCATTAGCTTTGTTATTTATTTTTATGTCTTGATTTAGGAATGTTTCCATTCATTTCTTACTGCACCCATTATCGTACGTCCCCACAGATAAGGCCTGGATACGTAAACATTGTTTCTCGATTATCTCGTACAATATAAACCCATAATCACAAATATTAGTTTATCTTTCGTTCCAAAAATCATGATTCATTTATCTCTCATTTACTAGCTCCCATTATAACTGAGTGATATTTCGGAGGTATTGATGGTTAAATCATAATTTTAATATTGTTATGGTGTCCAATATATCAAAAAGTGTCTCACGGTTTGGTAGAAAACAATACTCCATTCACTCAGTGGTTACATGACAAGTAGTTTGTATTTATAAATGCCCGCTAATCTTTTAATATCAATAAATGTTTCTGAGCGCTGATAATGAAATCACTCGTATTTCGAAATCTATGTTGAAAAAAACAATTATTTTTGTGTATATATACCTGTAATGTGTAGCAGCTAATTTAGTTAAAAACCACAGGTCGCATGTTTTGACACTTCTCTCTTTCATTTTGGCGAACCAGATGACATCATCAGTCACACAATGTGCCTCAAAGCCTAGTTCTTACACTTGGTAAATTATGTATATTACACAACAATCCTACTCATAAGTTATTTCCATTTCGCAAAGTTTTTTTTCGACCGTGTATGGGATTCCTCATCAGTTCACATTCCTGACCTCATGAAGAACTGAAATCAGTGCCTTTTGATTTCGTACCAAGCACGTTACTGTTCAGTTGTGTTATTAATATGGAGTAACATTCATTTCGTATTTGTCTGATATTCTGTCGTTTACTTTTTTCTACAATCAACCATTACTTGTAATATTTCTTTATAGTTGGTAGGGGTTATATTAATTTAGGACAAATGCATAATAATTAGTTTTCTATGTGTTAATTCGATTCGATATTTCAAATATGAATAAATATGTTTATTTATTCGGTCTTCCAGCACAGTAAGAATATTTTGAGTGTTTTTGTTGACAAATCAAAATAATAGGCTATCTTTCCATTCTAACAGATTTGGTCAGTACGCTATCACCCTACACGAGACCAACTTGTTCTCTCTTCAGGAAGTGATGGTCGTGTTTGTCTATACAACTTACCTAGCTATTCGTCTGATGCTCTTCTTACTAGTGACATGAATCAACAATCGACTAATGGTCATAGTCAAATAGAATTTCAAGATGAACTTGATGACCATTCATCCTGTTCTCATGAAGGTGAAATTGACAGGTAGGCAGTTATAATTTTTCATGTATTGTTTTACCCTAACCATAGTTGTTACCTTGAAGTGCTGGTCGGACTTGCCTATTGTGATGACCTAGTCGTTTTATATTGACCGTAGTAATTTTTCCTTCAGGTCCTGCCATCCCAGGTGGGTTAGTTGGGAAGGGTTAGACTAATGAGGGGGGTTAGAAAAGGATGGATTCAGATAGCTTGGTTGAATTTTGCCAACTTGTGGATTTGGCGATATATCCGCCTGCTAAGTAAACGAGACTATTGTTTAGTGGTTCGCTCTATTCTACTTCATGGTTATGAGACATGGCCACTAAGTAGAGCACATTCGTATAGTGTTCAATCATAGATGCATTCGAAACATTATTTATTTATTTGAACACATAAATATTGGTACAAGAAGGCACCAACTATATATGCGCCACACAAAACAAAAATGAGAATGGGAAGAGAAAAGAAAGAAGGTAAGGAGCGTAAAATAAAAAAGAACAATAACGAACAGAATAGTGTAAGGTAGTGTAATGATAATAATAGTAATAATGATAATAATAATAATGATAGGGGAAACGGGAAGGTACAACCTGAAGAAACCTTTCAGTTAAGGAAGATACAACCACTTTCTATGAAGAAAGTAAAAGGTTACAGCAGGATCGCCACTGGCTTCTATTCTGAGCCATATCTGATAAAGTCTCTAGCCACTGTGTAGCACCATCTCTCGGACCCCAACCAGGGAGTCGTGAAGGACCAACAGAAGCCAGTCCTTTGCAGCTTTCTTTCATGCCACGACACCATGTCATGCACTGACCACCTCTCCACTTCTTCCAACCAGTCCCAGAGTCGGCAAATAATGCACGACGTGGAATTCTCTGGGACGTTATTCGAAGAACATGTCCAAGCCACCGAAGTCGGTGTTTCAAGATGATGACATCGATTGCATTATCATCTCTGTGCCCGAACACACGATGCTGAACCTCTGCATTACTAACATGGTGTTGCCACTGGATGTCAGCAATTCTTCGGAGATAGTGATGATCAAACACAGAGTCGTCTAACATCCTCAACTCGGAGAGGTCAGGTTTCACAAGCATAGAGCAGAACTGCTCTCACCGACGAGTTGTAGACCCGACCTTTTACAGCCAGACTAACATCACGAAGGCGCCAAAGATGACGCAGATTGCCATAAGCCGCTCTGGCTTTCACTATACGTGCATTGATCTCATCACTCACACCCCCACCAGCACTTATGCAGCTACCCAGACACATGAACTTTCGACTATTTCTATTTGCTCACTACCCAGGGTGAGTACAGGATTAGGATCCTGCCAGTCTTGTAGAAGTACTCTGCACTTAGAAGATGCAAAGCACACACCATACCTACGGCCACTGATTAAGTGTGGATTGCATGGCTTGGGCATTATCGCACAGTAAGACAATATCATCCGCATACTCAAGGTCGAGAAGTCTTTCTCCAGGCAACAGATCCACACCGCCATTACTTACATCCATCAGAGCTGTTTCCAGAATGTCATCGATGGAAAAGTTGAAGAGGAATGGTGAGATTGGGCAACCCTGCCTAACCCCACTGCTCGAATGGAACAATGGAAAGAGGTGGTTGTATGCCCTCACTCTGCCTGAGGTGTTTGTATATAGGGCTTTTAGGATGTTAACAAACTCATCAGACACACCCTTCTTCAATCGACAATCCCAGAGAACAGTCCTGTCCAACGAATCGAAGGCAGCCTTGATGTCAAGAAACGCTGCAACTGTTGGTGTGTGATAAGCATGATGGTGTCCTAACATTTGGCGGAGGGTGAAGATATGGTTAATACATCGTTTACTAGAACGAAACCCAGCCTGCTCCTCACGAGTCAATCTTTCTCGGTTTTTGAACAACCTACGAAGTATGATGGAAGCCAACAGTTTGGACGTAATCGGAAGTAGACTTATCCCTCGATAGTTGTTACAGAAAAGACGTGAACCCTTTTTAAAGATAGGGACAACTATCGACTCATTCCATGACGTTGGTACACTCTCTAGTTCCCAAACCTTTGTAAACAACGTCGTCAATTCCTTAGTCAGAAAATCACCACCATCTTTAGAAAGAGCCGGGGGTAAGTCATCTGGGCCAGGTGATTTGTAGCGTTTCAAGAGTTGGAGTTCCTTGCGGACTTCCGCCTCATTTAGTGGATCAGTCGTCACCGGCCATGGAGGGCAGGACATTCTGACCGATGTTGCCGGAGCAGCAGGCCAGTTGAACTGCCCTTCGAAAAATTATGCCCATCGTCCAAGACGTCGATGGATGTTAGTGATTGGCATCCCGTCAACCCCACAGATTGTTTCGCTCACACCAGACTTCTTGCTGCCAGTGGCTCGGATGAGTTGGAAGAGCTTCCGGTAATTACCAGATGCAGCTGCTGCTTCCAGCTCATTAGCACGCTTTGACCACCAGGCTTCTCGGTCCTTACGCGAGCTTTGCTCGACTTCATTACGTAACAGTGGTCGTTTGTGGTCAAACTCACGGTCACTTGGAGTAGACCGACAGGCTTCAATGAGTTGTAAGGAGCCTGAAGAAATCCAGTGCTTATAAGCAGGACGTTTCGCGAAGTCGCAAGCGACTTCACTCGCCATTTTCATGGCGTCATGAAGTTGCAACCAATGCTCATCTATACTTTTCGGTGAAATGGTAGCTAGCCTAGAAGCTAGCTCGGTTCGATACTTAGTTGCAACCAACTTGCTGACATCAATCCTTTTGTGGCGGTCACTTCGTTGGACAATGAAAAGTAAGGTAAGATTGGCGCAGATCAAGGCATGATCAGAGTCCAGATAGGTACTCCAAAAGGGGCGACAATCTTGTACACAACCACGCCAGCGGTAGCTGATCGCGACGTGATCAATCTGAGTCTAGGCTTGAGGTGCAAATAAAGGATGCCAGGTGGCACATCGGCGATGACTGTGCCGAAAGTTAGTGCTAGCCAGAAACAGGTTGTGGTCTGTGCATGGTTGCAGTAGACGGTCCCCGTTATCTATCCTGCGACCAACAAGTCCCTATTGGCCACCTAAACGACTCTCTTGTGTGCCTAGACGCCCGATCTGAGCATTCAAGTCTCCGGATAGTACTACAATATCTGTCGTACGCACTTTCTGGAGAAGAACAGATAACTGGTGGTAAAACTCATCCTTGATTGCAGCCGGGCTGCAATCTGTCGGGGCATAGGCGGAGATGACGAAAGGACATCATTTCTCACGCCGATTTCTTCTCACTTTGTTGGAACTCTAATCTAACAGCACGTAATCGGCTGTTATTGGGGATTCAATCGATTAGTGCTGCCTCAGCTCTAGCGCTTAGTGCGACACCAACGCCAGCAAAACCAGACGAAGATGCCACAGGGTCCCCGGATAAGCGCACAAAGACATAGCCAGCCCTATGTGTTGTCCAACCTGCATAAGTGTGCGGACGTTGAAGGCAGCCAGTTTGAATGGTGCACGTGGTTTCAGAAAAACTGATTCAGTATTCGTATTTGGTGGTAGCATTCAATTTTCAACCAGTCAGTGACTCGAGAACGTTTAGATAGATCCGAATTTCCACCATAGGCGAACTGCTGCATAAGTCGAAAGATAAGGATACACAGAGTGTGAATAAATGGCGTGGTAAATAATAATAATGTGAATTGTTTGACTCTTAATCAAAGCGTGAATAAGATTTTTCAGTAAATATCGTCATTCTCATTTTATTTGTGTGTGGGCTGTGGTACTGCCCGGGTTCCCAGACCAGAGCAGGTGGTTTTCTTAGGGGGCTACACCCCGAGCCTTCGACCTAAAGGTCTGACCCACAAGGCAGTGGAGCATCGTAAGGAGATGCAGTTCCATGGTAGCCGATGACCAACGATTGGTTCATAGGCCATTTGTTCCCGCAGGATACTGGAGCCCATGTGCACCATTGATTTGGTTTGGGATCCGGTTAAAGCGCCGTACATTCACTTTTCGTCCTCTCATTTTGGTAAACAACACCCCCGCCACGAGAAGGCAGTGAGTAGGACTTCTCTGGCAGAGTCTGTATACGCGTGCCCGTGTGAGAGCGTTTCGAGAGGGACCACGGGCCCACCCCACTCTCGGCCATACCGGGGCATTGCTCGTGTTCATTTTAAAACTACCGAGTGAGCGATGCTGGTCTTAGGTATAGGGTAGTTGGAAAGTTATTACGTATGGTTAACTTCCCTTTACCTCGACGAGCAATGATGTCTGGTGTAAGATTGGGTTGGATGGAAGAAAGCTAAGGGTGGCTTAACCAGGATATGGTATCAGTCCATGAAGTCATTTAATATTTACTTGAACCCTATTGGCAGGTCCAGAATACCTGGCCAGGTTATCGTAACCAAATGCTGGAGATGATAAACGACAATGCACAGAGTCAGCTGCAATAGAGCAGACTTATCCATTCTACTTTCCATTAGATCTTTAGTCTTAAAACTTATACTTTTATGTCCCACGAATTCGTTCTTATCGAATCATATTACTTATACCTAGTTGTTAGTACTACTAATGATTCTGTTACTTCTTTGTTATAACGGTTGGTTTTTCACGTTTACACGTATGGGACGTTAATTTACCGTAGACGGATATCTACACTAGATTCCCTCTCAGTGCCTATTCTATAGACTTCAACACAACTCAGATCAAGAACACGTGGTTAGCCTGACTAGAACGTAAATATATTTCCACACCAAAACCCGACACAAACCAACAACAGTGAACAATCAATAATAACATTATAATGATAGGGGAATATATAACTCATCTGACACATGTCAGACTAAGCAGACAACCATTGTTATTCTCGCCCACACATCACTCTTCTACCACTGAGACGTTTGTTTTGATAATCCCACTTCGCTGTTTCAATATGTTGTGGAAACTTGGATAAATGCATATATATGCCAGATTCTACATTGCTTTTGAATGAATAGAGGTATGTCTTAGTCATGTATCTTGTCTACTCTGAGCTTTAAGGTATAGTTTAGAACGTCGAAAAACTGATGCCATTTAATGAAGTTACATGTGAAGTACTAGTGTTGTTCTTAGTGACGTTTCGAATTGTAAATGATACTCTGAAGTGGAATAACTACAGTAATTTGACATTATAACCAGTTTTATATGACCTAGTTAACATTTATAACATAAGATGGTGCGTTATGTTGTTACATAGCTTATTGTTAGCAATCCAAACATGAACTCGGTAGGATCCTGTTAACATTAGGGGCTACCTTATTGATTAATGTACTAATATCTCTCCATTGCTGTAGATTTTCTGAAAGCTAGTTTATATCGACGTATTTTCTCGACTAGAAATGCTGATCCCACCGTATTGGAGAAATATCACTCACTAGATACCTAAATTCAGTTGATAAGAGAAAAAAGACTTAACTTATGAACCGAAACCTTTTAATTAGCATAAACATCCCCCTTTCAATGATATATTATTTTACCGTTATGAATCATTGTATCATGTCATAATAGTTTACCTCGATTGTAGTTTCGTTGATTTACTTAAGATAAAATCTGAAACACGAAGCGATGACACAAAAATTATTTTTTTCTTATTCCATATAGAAACGAAGATGGTTTGATCGCTCGTTTGGAACAACATGAAGAAAGTGTATATACAGCTGAATGGAGTCCAGTAGATGCATGGTATTTTGCATCGATCAGTTATGATGGCAATTTTCTTATAAATCGTGTTCCAGATCAAATCAAACTAAATATTTTATTACAATCTAATGATTACTAAATTATTTGTATTTGTTTTCTCTGCATTCTGGTATTGCTTTTATCGTTTGTGCATTTTGTTTTTCTCTTAACAATACTTCTATTAATTCGGCTGTGATAATTATTTAGTCAACTTTTGTACCAGTTTCATTAATAAATATGGATGTTTATTGACAAATAAATAGTTTGTTTTTCTATCATTATTTAGCAGAAATCTACAAGTCAGAGAAATTAAAAGTGTTCATATTTTCCATTATTATCATGATTCTTTATTTGAAATAGACTGAAAGAAAAACCAATAGTCATGTTATCTAAATGTACATATTAAAGAGACAGTAAAATTCATAGCATATATTGACGGTATCACTTTAAAATTTCCATTTTGAAAAAGTCGGTAATAGGCTGAAGGTACACGAAGAAAATATAGGGTACTTAATATGCTGTACTTATAAGTTCCTTTTCATTTTTGTAATACAAAACATCGAATTGTCAATAAAAAAATACCAATTTAAGCGGTACGTTTTCTTTATATACATTTATTTGCTCAGAAAATTATGGAAATGCATTACAAAATCATCTGGTTTGTGGTAATAATAAAAAGAAGAAGAATTTTTGACAAGATATCAATGGCGACAAAAGAATATAACAATGATAATGATAAAATAATCCCTATTCCAATCAGCATTTATGTCGTGTTGTTACTAATACTACTACTACTATTAGAATTATTATCATTATCACAATTTGTTACAGAGGTGTCAGTTGAGGAAATGGTCGCCGGCCCGATTGATTCCATTGGGCGGATCTTTTTAGTGCGGCCCCCACGAGGCTAAAAAAAAAATACATGAAGTGAAATGAGTTGTTATATTTTATAGTAGGGACCAACAGTTATTTCATTTTAGACTATTCCTGCTAACAGGAGAGCATCTATACAAGTATTCTAAATAACTGGGCATTATTAGACGGTTTCTTGTACTAACTTGGCGTTTTAATTTGGACTACAATATGTGTGATTTTAAGCTAAAAAAAGATGGAACTTTCACATTCCTACTTCTGTCATAAAAATTAATTAATCGAGGACAATGAGAAATACTGGGAAAGCGGTGAAAATCAGTCAGTTTACTATCTGATTGCCCAAGAACACTCTGGAGGGAACTGGCACTTGGACGGCATCTACCTCATAACATTACACACAAAACTTATTGAAGAAACAATTGTGATTGAGGCTTACTTGTTCAGCCCAAGCCGCTTGACGTTTTCGTTCAAGTAAATCTTCATCAACAGTATTGATATCTGATACGCCCTGAGGATGCGAACTTGATTTTGTGGAATTGAAACCACTTGATGATGGTTGTCCAGTTACATGTGCCTCAGCGTCTGCATTTGAAAGATTACTTACAGTTTCAGGGGCTATTAGTCTTTTGGATGCCTGATTCTTAGCTGGACGACCACGCTGAGGTTGTAACCGTCTACGTATCTGAAGTCTAAATCAGGAAAATACATTAATATTAATTAATATCGTAGTATGAAAATGGTCAAAAATAAGGGAAATGAGCGTTTATTTCAAATAGATAAATGAGATATGGCGAAACTATAGAGACAAAACATTTTCTGTAAAATAATCTTAATAAGTGACCATGTATCATTAATAGGTTATGCGTAATCACATCTTAGAAGGTAATAAGGCTTGGCGGGAAAAATAAAGTCAATTGCGAAGATATTGTGTCACTATGGCACCAAAGGTTTATTTGCATAGGATACCTTTCATACTAGTATCTCTATTACTACCATATATGCTTTGACAACATACAATCAGTTTACAAGACATAACGCAATGACCAGGGAATTTATGTTAAATTACCGTCTGCTAGTTCATCACGGCTGTATGGATGATCCTGAATTTGTGTAGCTTAGTCAATGAATTATCAGATATCGCTGGAACACAATGACAATTATGTCCCTATAGTGGTTTTTCGTATTTAACATGAACATTGAGAGATATGAAATTTGTCTAGGTGAATAATTAGCAAAAACGTGAGTATTTAGAACTGTATCAAGGCGCAACTAGCAGCCAACAATAAACTAACTCACCGTTTTACCAACTCATCATCATCAAGTAACAAAGAAACCATATCAGATGAAGTCATATGTTCTGTGGGACTTGACGAATTTGTTACATTTGACAATAAATTGTTTAATCCTCCTTGACCTGATTGGATTACCATTTGTTGCATGGCACGTTTCTCTTCTGCACGACGCAACATACGACCTTCGACTGTATTTTTACAAATAAGCCTATAAACTGTAACCTGAAATATAAAATTATAAGTAATAAATGAATGAACACTGATAACACTTTTTTATATTTGGTGATGCTATAGAGGACCAGATGAGAAATAATGATGGTTCAACATTTCAATTGTTATCCTTAATTGATTTGATGCAATGAAGAGAAACGAAGATCCATTGGTTGATTTTAGACACCTTTTACTAAGCATTTGTTAGTATTTAATTAGGTGAACATGCCACATAACAAATTAAGATGGATTTCCTTAGTATATCAAATCTCTCAATAGTTAATCAGTTGGTAAAATGGTTCTGAGAAGAAATTTCTAGCTTGCTCAGGCCAATATTCTATGATATCTAGTTTTCTGTCGTTAACTACATTCATTTAAAAAAACCTTGGTTCCCGTTAATCGACACTGAAATTTCTACACGAAGGGAATCCAAGACTTAATTTAGTCCTCAATAATTTCATCTTTCGCACAGTGTTTTTTGTCTCAATGAATCGTCACAGAACATAGTCAACTCGAATACAAGAATAATTGAAGACAATGTCACCTATAAGGATAACCAATTACAATCAAGGCCACTGGAAAAAATTGATTTAAGGCTCACGGAATAACTTAAATGTTCACTTCTTAATAAAGCAAGCGCTGATGACGTTATCTAGAACAACAGTGAAAGTTACCCAATTAAACCATCTAGCTTAGAGATTTTTACAACAGTAAAACATCTATCTGAGCTGTAAATAATCTTCATCATTTAAATATTGTGATAGTGATCTACATGAAGTTGTTTTCTTTAAGTTAGATATTGGTCTTTCGACACACTTTCTAAAAAATATTCAGTCCGTTTAAAATAGTAAAAAAACTACGAGCGTCAAGATATAAAAGTATAAAAGAAACATACAGGCTTTGTTTGACCTAGACGATGTGCACGATCCATTGCCTGTTGATCTACAGTTGGATTCCAGTCAGAATCATAAAATATAACTGTATCAGCTGCAGTTAAATTAATACCAAGGCCACCAGCACGAGTTGACAGTAAGAATACAAACCAACGCGGATTAGTCTGCCATTGAGCAACCATATCTCTACGATCGGATAAACGTGATGAACCATCTAATCGTAGATAAGCATGTTTACGATATAACATAAACTCCTAAATAAGTGATAAATATAAAAACATCACGTTAGTAGTCAAAAACAAGTCATAACTCTTGGAACTGATGAAAAACACGGTAAATATAAGCCTTATATACAAGATTTAATCACCTGTGTATAGAAATCGAACAGTCACAAATGAAAGCATACGTTCATTTTCAACGGTAAACCAAACAAATTCATCAACTGTAGACAAAAATAGCGGAGAATTCTAACTCTTTGTAGATCAACTAACTCCGCCTGAAGACCAAGAGAGGAGCTGATATAGCGTCAAATCATCACTTGCTGGTCGCCAAGATGAAATTGAAACTCAAGAAGCACTGGACAATGGGGCGGACAATATCACAAAAGTTCAATATGGCCTTTCTTCAGGATACTAACAAACTCAACGAATTCAAGATAGCCCTCAGCAACAAGTTCCAGGCCTTTCATGATCTACTCAATGGAGATGGAACTACTGTGGGGAGCAACTGGAAAGGGATCAAAGAGGCAATCACTTCAACATGTCATGAGGTCCTGGGTCACAAGAAGCACCATCACAAGGAATGGATCACTGTTGATACACTGGATAAGATTCAAGAAAGAAGGAACAAGAAGGCAGCAATCAATACCAGCCGAACAAGAGCAGAAAAAGCCAAGGCACAAGCTGAATACACAGAAGTAAACAAACAGGTGAAGAGGAGCATCAGAACCGACAAACGTAAATATGTGGAAGATTTAGCAACGACGGCGGAAAAGGCTGCAAGAGAAGGAAACATGAGACAACTGCGTGACACGACAAAGAAACTCTGGAAATCGCTGCAAACCAGAACGACCAGTGAAAAGCAAGGAAGGCGAGGTAATCACCAACATTGAAGAGCAACAAAACAGGTGAGTAGAACACCTCAAAGAACTCTTGAATCGACCAGCTCAACTGAACCCACCCAACATCGAAGCAGCACCCACGGACCTCCCAATCAATGTTGGCCCACCAACAATTGAAGAAATCAGCATGGCCATCAGACAAATCAAGAGTGGCAAAGCAGCAGGACCAGACAACATCCCAGCAGAGGCACTAAAAGCAGACGTAGCGGCAACTGCAAGGGTACTCCACATTCTCTTCAATAAGATTTGGGATGAGGAACAAGTACCAACAGACTGGAAAGAAGGACTTCTGATCAAAATACCAAAGAAAGGCGATCTCAGCAAGTGTGATAACTACAGGGGCATCACTCTTCTCTCAATACCGGGAAAAGTCTTTAACAGGGTATTGTTAAACAGGATGAAGGACTGCATAGACACCCAACTTCGTGACCAACAGGCAGGATTCCGTAAGGATAGATCGTGTACAGACCAAATCGCAACTCTACGGATCATTGTGGAACAATCAATTGAATGGAATTCATCACTCTACATCAACTTCATTGACTACGAAAAGGTATTTGATAGCGTGGACAGAACAACACTATGGAAACTTCTTCGACACTACAGCGTGCCTCAGAAGATAGTCAATATCATACAGAACTCATATGATGGATTACACTGCAAAATCGTGCATGGAGGACAGTTGACAAAGTCTTTCGAAGTGAAGACCGGTGTTAGGCAAGGTTGCTTACTCTCACCCTTTCTCTTTCTCCTGGTGATCGACTGGATCATGAAGACGTCAACATCTGAAGGGAAGCACGGGATAAAATGGACATCTAGGATGCAGTTGGACGACTTGGACTTCGCAGATGATCTGGCCCTTCTATGCCAAACGAAACAACAAATGCAGGAGAAGACGAACAGTGTGGCAGCAGCCTCAGCAGCAGTAGGTCTCAATATACACAAAGGGAAAAGCAAGATTCTCCGACACAACACAGAATGCACCAATTTAATTACAATTGACGGAGAAGATTTGGAAGATGTAAAATCCTTTACGTATCTGGGCAGCATCATTGATGAACACGGTGGATCTGATGAAGATGTGAAGGCGCGGATCGGCAAAGCAAGAGCAGCATATTTACAACTGAAGAACATCTGGAACTCAAAACAACTGTCAACCAACACCAAGGTCAGGATTTTCAAAACAAATGTCAAGACAATTCTACTGTATAGGGCAGAAACCTGGAGAACTACGAAAGTCATCATCCAGAAAATACAGGTGTTTATTAACAGTTGTCTACGCAAAATACTTCGGATCCGTTGGCCAGACACTATTAGCAACACCCTACTGTGGGAAAGAACAAACCAGACCCCAGCGGAGGGAGAAATCAGGAAGAAGCGCTGGAAGTGGATAGGACACACATTGAGGAAAGCACCCAACTGCGTCACAAGTCAAGCCCTCACATGGAATCCTCAAGGCCAAAGGAAAAGTGGAAGACCAAAGAACACAGTACGCCGGGAAATGGAGATAGACATGAGAAGAATGAACAAAAATTGGATGGAATTAGAAAAGAAGGCCCAGTACAGAGTGGGTCGGAGAATGCTGGTCGGCAGCCTATGCTCCATTGGGAGTAACAGGCGTAAGTAAGTACGTAAGTAAGTAAGTAGATCAACTTATTTGTAAGATTTCGATAATGCAAAGGGACTAATTGTTTTAAATTATTTGTAAGAAATAAATACCAATAAAACTGAGCAACAAAATAAATAAACGTTGGACTTATAAAAAGAGTAAAGGAGCGAAAGGTACTAGCAAAAAATAAGTAGAAATATGAAAACGAAAATAGTTTATAATAGGAGATACAGTTCAGTTAAAAATGCGACCAGAGAAACTTCTTTCAGTTCCATCACCACGTACTTTCTTCAGAACTGTTTTAAGAATGCTATCGATGGTTGAGTTGAAGAACCTCATTTCTAGATTGCAACAATGGAGAGAGGTGATTTTATGCCTTCACTTTACTCAGTGTTTGTGTAGTTTTCAAAAAGTCACCATACTTATCATTAACATTCAGTGGTGTGAAAACACGGTCAATAAATCCACGAACTAATCGAAAATAACCTGCTCCCCACGAATCATAGTTTCACGGGTTTTGAACAATCAGTGAAGTATTATGGAAACCAATAGTTCAATTTCAATCTAACGTAGAATTATTCGCTTATAGTTGTTGCATAAATTAAATAGAGATTTTTTTAACAGATGAAGATGGCCGTCGCTTCATTTAGTAATGCCGGGACACTATTTTCTACATCTTTTAAAACAAACTAGTCAGCTCTCTGACCAAACGTTCGCTACCTTTAAAAATAATCGAGGCTAGGTCATCTGGATCTGGTGACTTGGGTGCCACATAAATTATGTTTTGAGGACCTCCGTTGTGTTAGATCCATCTGTCGTCGACGGGTAGGGAGGAAAGGACAGTCTAACAAAAGATGATGAGACAGCATATCATCCAATCTGTTTTGTTGAAGAACTCTGTCACATATTTGCTCTTCACTGAGTTTTGATACACAAACATAACTACCGATACCTAATTGCTGTGGTATTTCTTAACCTTAAAGTAGCATTAAACTTTATCGATCAACAGGTTTCGTGGAAGCATCTGTCTTCCATAGATGTACCATAAAAATACGTAAAACTTGTGTGTTTTTTAATTCGTGAACTATTGGTTGAGTCATAGATTATGGTTGACCGTCATCAGAATTCATTACATCAAGCGATTTTCTTTGGGACTTTCGATTTTCTTAACTTATTTGAATTTGTCATGCACATTTTTTCGGGAATAAAGCATTTATCGTCCGACTTTTCAGGAACTGGTCATCTTTCACAAGATTCACACCCTGACTTGGAATAAGCATATCATAGTTCTATTCAGTGAAAACGCTGATAAAATACTGTCGTCTTGAGTAATAATATGAGCATGTTTGAGATAGGTTCCTCTATCTCTAAATGCAAAATGTTGTTACAGGAACGGTCTGCGTCAACGTCTGAACTAATGACAGGGATTGAGAGTAGTAGAGCACGTTGATCATTTCAATTGTCTTGGAAGTCTCATTAATCATGATGTGTTGGTGTCTGATGAAATCTCAGTAAGGATTCAGAAAGCTCGGCTAAATGTTTTCACCGCGTGTCACTTATGGGAGTAGGTGAGGTATCGATCTACCATCCAAAAGATGACTTCATTTGGCAACAGAATATGGTCTAGGTTAGAATCCAATGAGGAATATTAGTTTCGTTAAAATAGAAGATATATCATCATAAAGAGCATTAGGAAGAACGAAACAAGAGTCGTGTTCGTCACTACTCGACAATTGTGTTAAAAAAGAATCCTCAAACTCACTTTGTGTTTAGAAGCGCAGATGATCATTCCTGAACTCAATAAATTCTGTACAGAATGTGAAATACAATAATGGTGTGAAACTCTAGTTTGAATATATGTGTTGTAGTATACCAGCTTTCCAATGTTTCCTTAAATATCAAAGTACAAAATCAACAGAAATCCTCCAAATAGACTAGTAGAGAATTCTCTACCGTAATTAGGGAAATACGTCTAGACAAAAAGATCATAAAAACACTTTATCAATCCAGCTACAATATCTAACCTCTTGAGACCGAAATAACAATAAATGAATAATTTTCTGAAAAAAAAAACAAGTCAAATCAAATGAGACTAACCTCTAATATATCAATCATACGTGTCATTTGTGAATAAATTAATACACGATGTCCATTTGATTTCAATTCAGAAAGAAGGTTATCTAATGTAGTTAATTTACCAGAATCTGAAATGCGTGTAGCACGTGAAACAAGCTCCAGACTTCTAGGCAATGGGGTGGTCACATTGTACGATAATGAATAAACATGTGATGTATCATAATTACACGTATTTACAAACGGTTTAAGTGGATTAATTAATACCTAAAACAAACAATTAAAAAAAGCCAAATTAGAATTTCCTTATATGTTGCACAAAATAGGATGCCCTATATGAGTAAGCAAAAAACAATGCTGGATTTAAAAATCATTTACTGAGTCAAAATTATATAAGTTTTGGATATTTGCACATCGGGACGAAAATGTTTCTGAAGGACATATCAATGGTATGCTAGTCAAAAGCTTGAGTGAAACATGAAAATGTGTGATTTCGATAAATAGATGCGGATGATTGTTAGCAATTTAACAATTCATGTCCAATATGTTAACTAGTCAAATTCCTTCGTTTTCAATTCAAAAACACCGTGCAGTTGTGGTTGGATCGATCGTTGTGGAGTAAAAGTAAATCATTTAGTTCTTTTTCTGAAGCTTGTTGGCTAATTTCTCCCGACTCAGTATGTTATATAGCCCTTTACTAATTCAACCAGTTGGAGCCATAAAACCACGGGAACTATCTTTATTATAATTAAGAGATTAAGTTGGTTTGTTAAAATAATTTAATTCTAAAGAATAAAGGTACTATAACTCGCGCTGTTTGGTTTTGAGGAGTAGCTTTTCGTTAATCAATACACACAAGTCTGATAATTCTTTGTAGGTTGTATTTAGAGAGGAAGCATAGTTTACGAAGATCAATGAATTATAGGCATCACTATTCCCATTAAGTTTTGAAAATGACTTGTGGTAGTTTTTAATTACAAACAACTGGGATATTATTCTAATATGGACACGACTCTATGGGAGTGAGATAAACAGGACAACTAACACACAACACTTCAACAATAATCCCTAATACAATGAAAAACAGAGAATTTATGAGATTAGGAAAAAATCTATACTCAAAGAGACATAATCGTAGTGGCACAAACATGCAAACATAACAACTAACAATGACCTTGGGACACAACGAAATTAGCAAGCTAACAACAAGAACAATCAATCAAATAAAATCAACTTCAGTGAGTAAATGTCAACTAGAAAGAAATAACTAACATTTATTTACAAGAACCAAATAAATTGAGGAGTATCCTCCAAAAGGGGCGCACAGAATAGGGTGAACATTAGTAAAGGTGATTTTTTTAATTTACATCGTGAACCTTCCGTAATCCAATCTAATATACTGTTATATCTAGAGCTTGTATTCTTGCCATACCACGTATAACTTGAGCACTCGAACGCTAGAACCCTCCAAATCGCAAGTTAGAAGATAGAGGACGAGTAAGAAGGAATCTTATTCCAATCAGTGTCAAACACAGTACAAAACATTTAAATATTTATAATTTTTTAGTAAAAACGAAATCATCATTACAATCATCCAATTCACATGTTGTGGTTTTCAGCATTCGTCCAATCGGAAAGCTAGACGTCGAGATTCTGGAATGTTCTTCCAAAAGATGATTAGATGAAGTGTATTCGACTCTTTCCGAGCTTCTTAGGGTTCCCAAGGGCCATCTCTACATATAAATAAATGTGAAAGCTCAAACTTCATGCTATTCATCGTAAGTAGTCTGGTATCGGTTTATTGCACTAAGTCCCTACAACCAGTTTAATACCTGCTGCTACCTCCTGACCACTCCTTTTTACATGCTGTTGCTGGATACCTACAACTAAATGTTAAGTTTTTTAATCCATCTAGATTATGTAGTTTTTAGAGCATCAATAGATCTCCATATGCTCGGATAAGCTGCACCAATGAGTTGGCTAAATCCTCTGTACCATTCCTACACCAGATTGTTCGTTCTAAGATCTCCCAAAAAGGGAATTACGGGTCTTCAATTTGGACTCAGTTTATTCACTTTGTTGAAAGTGAGCACATACGAATTCGTAATCATATGAACTGTTTAGATCTGAAATTTGAGCTGATATGACAATACGACAAACTCGCAAATAACATAACTACAATTTAATATGTCGCTTCTGTTGATAAAGCTGTCGATTACTTTTTTCCCATACATGACTGTTTGTAATAAATCCATAGTTTGTATGAGAGCGTTCATTTGTTAACGCAATCGATAAGATTGACAAATACCATGATTTATCGAGAATCAACTGAAAGTGAACATGAAACTGAAATGATTTTAATAAAAACGCTGCACGTCATGATCTCTGTGAAACATGAATACTTATAATATTAAGTTTCAAACTAAATCCACTGTATCTTAGTTTCATCAATGCTTCAGTCGATTCTGCCTCGTGATATTACTTTAGGATTGCTATGAATGAGTTGGTTTCGAAGATCATGGAGTTATTCTCTTAATACATTTAACTAACTCTATTTGCGAACTATTGAAAATCAGAATCAACGCTATAATCTATAAAGATTGAATTCAAAAGAGAAAAAACAATCAACATCCTGTTATAGCGTAATACCGGACACAAAGTAGAAGGTATGTTAATTACTGTACGAAAGAGGATGTAAAATACTAAGGTTATTAAGTAAATATGAGCAGTGGTTATGCAAACTTAAATTTTCACTTGTAGTTCATAAAATTCGGACGACTGGAAATTCAAATGACACTTAACACCATGAATAGATTAATATTTTAGTTATCAATAACAAACTAAATGTGATAGAAACATACTTTGTGAGTTGTTGCAGCTGAGACAAAATTCGGAATATAAGGTCTTATTCCAGGACAATGAATGAAAACTGATGGTACATTCGATACAGTGGTAAACGATTCATATTCAACTTGACGAAGGAGAAGACCTTGAAGATAAATTAATTGTGCAACTGAATGACGAGAAGTACGCACATGACTCATAGGGAATAATGAATTCAGTTGTAATAAACCAGAAGCGTTTTTACTCATTGTAATATCTTCATTGAAATAGTTGCTTATTATAATACGTGCCGAGTGGCTATGAGAAATAGTTTGAGAATCGGAATGTGAAAAACCCCCAGTTTGAATAATTTTTACATATTCATTAACAGATAAACCTAATAGGCGGGTGAATGAAAAGCCTGCAAAACAAAAAAGAAATATCAAATGCAGCAAACGAACTAAGGTCATATGTACAAAATCATTATTAACATGGAAACATCAGACAAACAAATAAGTACTATAAACAATAAGGAAAATTGAAGCCTTTTCAGTAGTTGTGTGGTGTGTGCTACTGATGTCGACAGATATAAGAAGTACGTATCATCAATCGAAAGTGAAATGTCTGGAGGTAGAACGTTAAGATCAAAGAAAAGAGAACGAGAACAGAGAGTGATTAGTGTGGAAACGAAGGAACAGCGAAGTTTGAGACAATTGATTGACGTTTTGCAAATGAAGAACTTACTGTATGGTTCTCAGATTTTACTAAGAGATTCTGTATTTTTGTGTTCAAATACGTTTGGTTGTCCCCACTAGTGTTCTTGTTCACTACAGATGTACTAATTCCCTAAGAATATCTAAAAGATATTCATTCGAAATGATTCGTTACAATCCGAGTAGTATACATAACGAAGAATAAATGGACAGTAACTGCTAGGGTCTATTTATGAACTAATACTATACATATATTCTTATTTGGTAACTATTCAGCGATTATATTATATGCATATTTATATTCCTTTCATTATAAGCTTCTATTTGACCTATTGCCAACTATTATACTATTTACTATTCGCAAGCTATTCCCAATTTATTTATTACAGAGTCTCACAATCACAGCCACTTTTTGGCTTGATTTTGTATGATTGTTATTTTCCATTTTATGGTATGATACGATCTGCTTCGTTTGTATACAAACCAAGTATGTCTGAAATACATGATTCATACAGTAGAAACGGTGTTCTGAACTCAAACAGTCTGGGTTAGGTGAGAAGCTACTATCTCGGAGGTCCAATAAGAACTCAGGGTTGAATCTAGGCTGTTCGTACTGGTTCATCCGTCATTAGTCTGGTCATATAAGTCGATGTTTCTAATTGGCGATCTAGTCACGCCATATATTAACGGGTTATAAGGACACAACAATACCCATGAGAAGAAATACGTTTTACGAGAACACACAAGTCAACTTCATAAAAATGTTTACCTACTACCTAGTACTGGTTCTGAATAAAATACAGTCTATTTTATCTGCAAAACATCGTCAGTTTGATACTACTAGTAGTAGTCAATGTCAGATTGATTATGTTAATAAATTCATTCATAAGAAGGATGAAAACGATGTTTTAAATTCATAAATAGGCAGTACTCTATGGTGATGTGGTGTAGAAAATTACGTCGATGCACATTCAACGCCAGATCCTATGCTGACTATGACTGACAATGTGAGAAAATATTGTGCGATATTAAGCAGAAACATTTTATTGAAAAGCTATAAATCTGACCTATCATATAAAAAGTTAGTCGTATTGCATTATTTAGTCCCCAGAAGAATAAATTACAACGATAATCTCACAGTTTCAATTGAAGTAACTCAACCATTCAGCTAAACCAACATAATGATGCTTAGGAAACTGATACAATTACATTGAGAGCACAAATATAAGTTACTAACTAGACGTATAGACTAACAAGCTTAAATTAAAAGTTATTCGGTTTATGAAATACAATCTTTAAAAATTATCACTTACATTTAGATGGGTAATTTGTACATGGCCTACTTTGATTCACTATACAGCTTGGTCCTAAATCTGGTTCCTCATTGTCATGATGCCATAAGTCCTCATGTATATAACAAGGATGATGAAGATAGAAATACTTTGCAATAATGATAAATAAACATATTGAATAACAGTCATATAAGGATACCGGACAGAGAGAAAATAGACTGTTCAAACTTTTAGCTCTCCAACTAAATAATGACAAAGCGTCTACAAAATAGAAAAGTTGAAGAAAAACGGAACTATCCTTTTTAAAATGACAATTTATAGAGTTTTGGATCATTTGACAATATAATATATTTTAAACTGACATAAAGTTTAAGGAGTCAATCTCATTTGAAGATTATAGGTAAGCACTAATAATCAATCATAAATTATGACAATTACAGTGATCAAAACAATCTTTTAAAACATTAATTTTCTCCAAAAAGGGGGAATTTTTATCCATATAGATGAATAATATTAGAGCATAACGTAATGAAAGTCTTCCAAACAGATGAACAGTGAAACTCTTTTTAAAAAATGAATACAAACTGAAGAATGGGTGTATTTACCATCAAATATATGGCTGTAGTTCTTTAATGAACTAATCAACCAGGCCACTTGGGTATGAGTTACACTCTAAATGTGAGGACTAATTATACTACACAGACCAAATTAAGTGGATTAGGATTCGAACCTGGGACTTAGTGGCTGGAAGTTGAACACTCTAAGCACTAAGCCATTGCTCCATCAAAAATATAACTTTCGAATAACTGAACTATCTAAATCACTTTAATCCTACTAGTTAACAAGGATATATTGACTCAGCTAAGAATTGACCCACTAATTATTCATAAACTATGGGATTTTTTATCGATATTTTTAATGATAATACGACTGTCTTAATGCCATTTACTTCAATGATTACAAGACTTCTCTGTTGGAAATTAGTGTAGTCAGTCAGTCATCTACAACGTAGGAACAGGTACATACATAGATAGGTCCAAGTTGCAATACCTCATTGGCACAACAAAGTGAACATCAAATTCATAGAATCAATTACGTCAATGGTAGTAATATACAAAAGAAGATTGCATGTAAGGATATGATACGGGGAGAAAGAATTACTTCATAGAAAGAAAGGTATAAAGTAATTTAAATCTAACGGTTTAAAAAATTATTTTAGTGCAGATCAGAGTTAATGATATCTACGGCAAAAATAACCAAATTATACAAATGATATCAATAATTAATGAATAATCGCTACTAACAAATGACACTCACAGACAAGTGGAAAGATCATGCATGGGACAAATGTCTACTTTTTGAGGACATTGAAGCTAGAGATAAATAAATCTAAACAAATTTAAATCAGACAGCTGAACAATTCATAAAACTGAACTATTTAAGGAATATTGGAGATTAAAAAAATACAAATAATTATTAATGAGAGATGATTAAAATACAATGGGTTATGCATACGACTAAAAGTAATAACTGTTTTACATACCATCTTCGTACAGTAAATTTGGAAGCCTCCACATTGCATATTGATTACGATTGTTATTGTAAGCATTATACTTAATATCTGAATTATAGAATCGACAACTATTCGGTTCCATTTGACCAGTTATACAAGAGAAACGAACATCACGACGCTCCCATAAATCTGGATGATTGCATACTTTTCTTAACTGCATCACTAAATTAATTAAATGGGCTGTAGCTGACGAAGACGATGACAATGCATTAGTATTATCCAAATTCGATGAAAAACTATCTGATATTCCATTCGCAGACATGATGGAGCTAAGATCTTCAAGACGAATCTTACTACGTAATCGTTCATACAATATTTGTTGTCGATGACTTAATGGACAATATAACATAATCTCCGTCTACATATTTATTTATTTATTTTTTCAAAAAAAGAAGAAATAAACAGAAGGGATTAGCAGTTAGTCAATATTGAAACTGATAAGAATTACTCAATAGGTTCTGTAAAAAATGTAAATAACATTAGGTTATATAGTTGCGATTCGACAACTTATTGACTGAAACAGAAATTCAATCGAGTGCATTACATATCAATTAAAAGTAATTTTCAGTTAGCATTATCCTACCTCTAGTATATATTGAGAATCATAGTTTAAAACAATTGAATATATAAAGGATTGATGTCGTAACCGTTAACATCAGATTAAATTCTACATTCATATTCAAACATGATTAACTAATGAGTAGTAAATGAACTATAAAATTGTATATATAGTAGGATTTACAATATGAACATTCTTAAATTAATAAATTAAAAAGAATAGCATGTAATAGTTACTATACGTTAAATGATGAGTTGTTAATTCAATAATAACTAACAATAGATACAGAAACGAATACATTGTTAGCCCAACATTAACAATTTTCTTTTCTTTTTATATCACAAACAATCCTTACTTCACATGTTACAATTTTAAATGATGTAATCTGCTTTAAATCTGGCCAATTTTATGGATTATTAATTTGGATTTATGAATTGTAGAACCTGATGAGAAATTATTGAAAAGAATATTCTTCGTCCATATGATTATGTTCTAATATATACAATTGCTTATTAAGAGATACAATGAAAAAGCCATGATTAATACTATTATTGTTTGTTTTAGTTCCAATGCCCCATACATTTATTATGATGTCAAATTACAAATGATTACTCTAAAATCACTATTCCATTTCTAGCCCCATTGAACTCAATCTTGAAGCTACAGTTTTATAAATCGAACTGTGCATTTAATTTATCGTACTGAACAATGTGATTGAAAAAAAGAAACGAAATTTCAAAACTCTACATAGCTAAGGTCGAAACTGAGTTGACTAATGCATCCATGAATCTTTCGACGTAAGGTTAGATTCCTTTAGGCTTCTTAGCTTGACAATGAACAGTAACCAAAGGACAGAGAAATCAGAAGTAATAAAACGAGCTAAATATTGTTTAAATGTTCACTACAAATAAACAATTACGCTAAACATAGTGAATAAATGAGAGATCAAGCTCACCTTAGTAGATATCTCATGTTCAACTTCAGTTTTTGTTCTACGTAACATGAATGGTTTTAAAATTAAATGTAAACGTGACAATTGATTTTCATTCAATTTTGAAGTTATTAAAGATCCAGTTCCACTGCTACTAATGATACTTCCTCCTCCCGCTGCTCCCCCACCACCAGTTCTAGCTGTAACACTGGCTTGAGACTCAATATCACGTGAAAACCAATTAGCAAATTCATCATGTGAATCAAATAATGTAGGCATAATAAAATGTAATAATGCCCATAACTGAATAAATGAATGAATATAAAACAAAATAGAGTTAGACAATATAAATTATATCAAAATAATGAAATAAAAACTGATGGACAATAATTAATTAGTTAATAAGTATTAAAAAGCTTTTAACTAAGATATCCTTATTTGTGAAATATGGCTGGCTTAGTTTTAATGGATGTATAATGTAATGATTTAAAAATTTTACAGTTGACAACTCAATATCATTACATAGTTTAATTAATTATATAACATAATACATATGATGTAAGGCTTCGTACACGAGCCTACATAAGCTTTTATTGTTGGAGTTTTACTTCGAATGAAGCCATTATAAGTATGTTATTCAACTTCAATTATGAGTCAGAAATTTGAAATGCTATTTACAACAAAAGCATTATTTAATTTAACGACTGATGAGGGCTTATTTGAAGGTTATATTCATCATAGACTGATATCAACTGGAGACAACTGAAAACCACAAATCATAAAAATAATAACTTCAAACAAGTACTACGCCAATTACTGATAATTTTTGTGACAAGTAATAAACGATTTGGTCGATATGAGCTATAAAACGATCATCATTATTATTATTATCAAGTGGATAAAGGTTTAGATCAATTTCATTATTGGTCAATATTATACTGGAGCTTCTAACATAAAATTCAGCAGGTCGTTCCTGGACATAATGGTAAGGAATGATATTATATCCGCAATGAATCGTGGAATTCTCAGCTTTATAGGAACCAGAAACCATAGATTAAATATGCAGGCAAAAGATCTGACAGTTCTATTCAACAAAGGAGGTAAGTTGACTAGTTTTATAATATTGTTTCCTGAAGAGCTGCAATAAGTACTTAATGTCCATCTTTCAATTATTGTAGGTTTGTTGAAGGTTAATGAACTATTATTCATCGGAATGTGCATTATAATCAAGAATGCGATTTATCTACGTCACGACAATAATTCGTGGTAGCAAAGTGACAATAAATTACTCTTTCATAATCTCTAATAGTGTTTTTCAAAGCTTCAAGCGATTAAAACGCTACCAGATACAACTCAGTCAAGAAAACATACTCAATGTCTGTAACAACGTTCGGAACTACATGGCTAATACTTAGTAAGTTATTGACGTTCACAATTTGGAGGAAATGCAAAAATTGAAGGAATTATTCCCTTATCCTTTTTAAAGCTATTCATTTTATTGGACGAAAAATAGCATGAAAATTTTCTAATTTTAAAGAAACTGTAAAAATCACTGTCATGTTACTCCTATGCAGATGTATGGATATTTAAATAAATGGTCCATGGTGGATGGATCGTTAGACTTCCCTATCTATTAAGCGCGGTTGTGTTTGGTAGTAAGACACAAAGCTTCAGAAAATCACCTTTGATTGGGAAAACATTTTTGAATTATTTTGATATTATTATTGATCAGATGGTTGTTAAGTATAGCATGTACTGGTGTTACTAATTTGATTTGTAGATTTTCTTGTCTTACTGGATTATTTGGAGGTCTTTTAGTGTAGCTTAGATGTTTTTTTGCACGAGTTGCGATTTCACGAGACGACTCTCTAATATAGAATCCATCAGAATTTACACATCACAATCTGTAGACACAATTCTGTATCCAGGTAAAGAGGGTTTTATTTTTTTATTTGGACTAAAGCATTTTGTAGTGTTAATCGTTTTATATGATGCTTTTAACTCTGTGTGATCAAAGAAGTTGTTGTAATTCTTCTGTTGTGCTAAGACCATAGCGATAGTTACTTCATCCGAATACACATTTAATCCTTTTCACATCTCACACCACTATCAAGTATTATTTATTTATTTGAACATATAAATGTTGATACAAGGGGGCACCGAATACATATGCGCTACACAAGTCACTTGATTTGTGTGGGTTATGACACTGCCTCGGCGCCCAGACCGAAGCAGGTGGTTTAATTAGAGGGCCACACCCGAAGCCTTCAACCTAAAGGTTTGATCCACAAGGCAGTGCAGCAACGTTAGGAGATGCAGTCCCATACGCCATTTGTTCCCTCAGGATCCTGGAGTCTATGTGCACTACTGGTTTGGAATCAGGGTTTTCCAACTCCCCTAGGTGGATTCTCCATATCCACCAACTAGGTTAAAGCGCCAGACATTCGCTTTTCGTCCTCTCAACTTCGTAAGCAAAATCCCCGCTGCGAGAAGGCAGTGAATAGGACTTCCCTGACAGCGGCTGTATACGCGCAGCCATGTGAGACCATTTCGAGAAGGAGAGCTAACTCTCTCCACCCTCAGCCATACCAGGGCATTTGGGGGCACTATCAAGCATACAAATATTTCTTACACTACTCTTCAACATTACGAATACCACATGTTTCATATCCACCAACATCCAGACATAAACAAAAGTATATCTCAAACAAAAATCACTTTGACCGAATCAATATGTCATTAATATGATCTGACCTATTTTAATTTTGATTGCACTGAAGATATTCTGTTTTTCACGCTTTCTTAATTGTAGGCTTTCATTTGACCTATTGATTACGGTTGTATGTTTTTGCCGTTCGTTAATTTATTATCCACCTATTGTTCAGTTCTTATATCGCTTATGACTCAGTTGTACGTAAATTAAAAACATTGGTCTGATAAACACGACAGGTACTCGTAATTAGTGGATTTTATAATCTCGTGATCCGACAAGTGAATACATAAAGAAGTGAAGGTCATAACACCCATTGTATCTTAGTTTAAGAGGCTTTTTATAGGGTAGAATCAATACTTTTCAAGATCCAACCCAAGACCTGATTTTATAGTCGATGTGAATACATCGGTTATTACAAAATTTGGCAAGAAGTAACAAGAAATTTTCATAAGATTCATCAAAGTAGAAAAATAAAGACAAATTTTCGATAGCCGTACTGAAACATAATCGACTGAAAATGTTCATTATTAAAGTCAAGCGCAAGGACACAACAAACTATAAAAGTTCATTTGAATCCCGTAGGTAGAGAAACGATTAACATAGTGGAATAGCACTAACTACCTAATTATATCTTACATTCAAAGCTTCATTAATTAATATCACTCTGTAATGCTAGATATGTTCAAACTGGACTACATGAACAAGCTACAATATTAGTCACTATTACTGTACTCACTTCTTGCATTGTATTCTGAATTGGAGTTCCAGTGAGTAAAAGACGATTTCGACATTTAAAAGATAACAGAATTTTCCATCGTAAGCTAGGAAGAAACAAAAAAAGGACTTGAAATTTACATAACGACAATCTATTTGTAGTTTTTTTTAGTTATTTTAATACATAAAATATCTTCAACATTGGATTGACTGATTTTCAAAGTAAGTCTTTCCGATTACTCTAGATTTTTGATTGGACTAATAAAAATAAGATTTACACTACGAAGTTCAGTACAAAAAAACTTGAGGTAATGTAAACAGACAACTTACATGCTTAATAATGATGAAACAAAGTAATTCAACAGCGCCAAATAAATGTTAGGGCTTATTTCATTTCACTAAAGTACAACTCTATTTTACTAATCAACGTATCCAACTAACTTACTTCCAGGTATCAGACTAAGTATGAATACACATAAGTAAATTAAGGTGATAAAAACTAGAACTGTTTTAATAGTTTTGAGGTATTTCTTTAACTTATGTAAAATACATTTTTGTTTGTTGATATTTTCATAACAAAAAGTCATACACGTACTTGTACTATAGACGATTAAACCACATAAAGCAAAACATTAAGGTCATGACTAAACAAACATGAAAGAATATACAAGAATACAATGTTAATCTTTGACGAACACTTCTAATCCCAGTCAATTTATAAAATAAATATACGAGTTCAATTAAAGACTGTGGAAACCTTATCATATATTCAATTCACTCGGGTTGTAGCAAAAAATTCCATTGAAATATTTTCATCTATCATAAGTGGACTGTTATCTTTTTTGGTAAAACTACACAATTAACGACTGAGAATAAGTTGAAGCAACTATTATTAAGTGAACGTAATACAGAAAAAAGAGATTACTAGCTGTTTACTACGGCAGAAAAGAGAGTTTGATGATTTAAATCAACGACCGAAGGAAAAAATTAAAATTAATTCGACCAACATACCTTGATGTACTTTTAATAGCATGTGCTTCATCTAAAACAATGTAGGACCATGCGGTTTTATTAATGAATTTCGCATCTTGCAAAACAACTTGATAACTAGTTATAACTACATGAAGTTGAGAATCCTTAGTTCCAGCTTGTCCAGGATTAATATCACCAGATTCATCAAAAGATTCTGCATTAGAGGAACGTGTAGATGACCAAAATCGGCGTAGAACTTTACGCTCTGTTGGTGTACCCCAATAAGGGACTAGACGAAAAGCTGGAAGGAATTTAGCAAATTCCTGTGTCCAATTATGCAATGTTGAAGCTGGAGTAACGATTAAAAATGGACCCCAAATGTTGTAATTCTTTAAAGAAAATTGAAAAAGAAAAACTAGAACTATTTAAAGTGAAATTCGCAGTCAGTAAAAATCACAAGCCTGAAGAATGATGATCAAAAATATCTTCAGTATCGAATACTGATGTTATAATTCTCTTTTATTACAACCCAGATATTCCTACTGCTTAATATTCTTGAACACCGATTCACTCGACAAGTCCCGAAATCAAAACACGGTTGAACAGGAAGGGAACTATTTTCTAAATAACAAGGGTAGTAAGAAGCACAATAAGAAAAACGTTAGTATATTTATAGATTTTACATAAGAAGATTCTAGAGTTTTCTCCAAGTATCAACTAGCGCTGACTGGATAAGAATCAACCAATCAATGTGCACCAACACAATCTATGTCCCGCTAACAACTGAAGTATCAAACTGCTTCACTAAGATCCTTTTGAATCTCCCTTAGAGCTACAGCTAGTTCCAAACCCAGGTAAACGAGGAGGATTGTGCGCGTGACTAACAACCACACTTCGTAGAAATCCTGGTACAGAATCTCGAACCAGAGAAAACTAAATGATTTCTTCCCTAGGAGGAGAAAGTTCTTTACACGGAAGTCATCACGTTTCATGGTGAAAGCTGGTTTCACTCATCTACATTATGTTCCTTTTTAGAGCATCAATGAGTCTGCACATACTCGGATGAGCGGCGCCACTAGACCGACGCTCCTTCAGAAAAACAGGGCGATAATAAATATAGGATATAGAATGTTCAAACAATGTGAGACGGGAAGGTCATTTTAAGTAGCCCTAGAAATGGAGACATACAACCTGGCCGTGCTTGGAACAAGTAAAGCCCATTGGACATAAGCTGAACGAAAAAGACTGGCCTCAAGAGAAATGTTATTACATTCTGGTCACGAGGAATGAGTTGTACTGATGCTCTACGACGCACAAAAAGACCTTGTAGTATGCGGATTTGACGGCTTTAGGATCATCAAAGCATCATTTAAAGTAAAGAAGTAAAGAATTGCAATGAATATCATACGATACTACGTATACACCAATGGTAGCATCAAAGGAGATAAAGACCAGTTTTATAGGAGACAGCAGTCCATTCTAGAGAAATGTCATAAAAAGAGACCTGACGATCCTGATGGGAAACCTGAACACTACGGTCGGTATGGACAACACCGGGTATGAAGATGGCATGGGACGACATGGACCGGAAGAAACAAGAATGTTCAACAAAATAGAACCATTTTCCCTTACAAATGCATACACGAAGCTCCATGAGCTTCTCCAAACCCTAAAATCGATCACATTTACATGAATAAAGAATTCAGAGAGCTCATGGAAGACTTCAAAAAAAGAAGGGAGTTGATATAGCTTCAGATTACTACTTGGTGGTAGCCAACATAAGACTGAACAATCGGGAAAGCAATACTTAAAAGTTCAATACGACGCCCCGTCGAGATACTGACATACTCAACGAATTCGAGATAGCTGTCAACACCAAAATCCAAGTCTTATAAGATCTACCAGAAGAAGAAAACATTATGGGAAACAGTGGGAAAGAAGTTAAGAAACAGTAAGTTCAACATGCTAGGAGGTGCTGGGCCGCAAGAAGTACCAGGATAAAGAGTGGATCTGTATTGATACCCTAGGCAAGATTCAAAATGAGAGAAACAAAAATACAGAAGTCAAAAACACCCGAAAAAAAGCAGAGAAAACCAAGGCACAGATCGAATATCCGGAAGCAAAGAAATGAGTGAAGAGAAGAATTAAGGCTGACAAGAGGAAAGATGCAAAAGACTCGGGTACTACGGCGGAAAAAGCTGAAGGAGAAGGAAATCGAAAGAACTGTGTGATACAACCAAGGGAAATACAGTCAACCAGAGCGACCAGTCAAAGAACAAAGAAGACAAAGCAAACAATCAGGTTCAAGATAACCGGATAGGTGGGTAGAACATTTTAAAGAGCTCCTGAATAGACCACAGCCACTAAACCCACTGAAAATCGAAGCAACACACAGACCTCCATGTAGATAGTACTCCGCCAACAATGGAACTTGGTAGGACCACCAAACAAATCAGGGACGGCAACGCGGCTGCATCAGACAATATACCATCTGAAGCACTGAAGTCATGCGACGAATTAACTGAAGGATGTTCTGTGATCTATTCAGGAAGATTTCGGAAGAAGGACACGTGTGAACAGACCAAAAAATCAAACATCTCGTTAGGACATCGAAGAAAGGAGATTTTCGCGAGTTTGAAAACTACGGGGAGATTACATTAGTGTCAGTACCAAACAACGTTTACAACAGTGTTGCTGAACCGAACAAGTGATACAGCAGATGCCTAACTTATAGATCAACAAGATGGCTTCCATAAAGATCGATCACTTACCGATCAAATTGTCACACTTAATTACTGTAGCTCAGCCACACAAATGGAACTCATCCCAATACACTGCTATGTTTGAATAGATTACGAAATCACCTAAAATCGGCAAATGGAACGAATGATCAGAAATGTAACGACAAGACAAGCTAAACTATTCCGATACGTCCCAGCCCTGCTAACTTGAGGGAGAAGACCCGATTCAAATAAAGGAAAGGTATATTCCACAAGCACGAACAACAACAAGCACATAACTCAAGCGTATATATACAGCATAAAAGTGACCTTGACCAACGTCACAAAATAGTATATTAAAAGGGAACGAACCAATGACATTTAGGGTCCTTTCAAGTTGGAAATACAGTCTTCAAACAGGAATGGGTGCTTTTGGCGCGAAAACGAGAAATTCGAATTTCCAAAATAAAATTACGAAAACAAGGCGTTTGCCAAGTGATTTCTGGGGATCTAGCATCCCCAAAATACAGTAACTTGCTTTGTTATGAGAAAACATTGGACATTCACGAGGGAAAAAGCAAGATTCTGAAGAATAGCACAACGAGTACTCACCAAGCTACACTTCATGACAAAGCTTTGAAAGAAGTGGAATCCTTCATGTATCTGGCCAGTATCATTAATAAACAAGGAGGATCTGAGGCAGATATCAAGGTACGAATCAACAAAGTAAGGACAACATTCCTACAGTTGAGAAATATTTGGAACTAAAAAAGCTCTCACTCGAGACCACATTCAGCATTTCTAACATTAGTGTTAAAAGTTTTAATATAAGGTGCTAAAATTTGGAGAATTATCATTACCATCACCAAAAAAGTATGTGTCGAAAAATAGCTGCCTACGCAAGAGACTCCAGACCAGTTGGTCACAGAGCATCAGCAATAATATAGTGTCAAAAAACCAGCTATCGTCCAGGGAGGAAATTAAAAAAGCTTAGAATAGATAGGAAATACCTTTCAGAACCCCCCAAACTGCATTACAAAGCACGTTGGAATCATCAAGACGAAAATAAAAAGGGGAGAGACTAAAAACCACATGGGGCTGAAAACTGGAGGTAGATATTAGGACCTTAAATATCACATGGCAACAACTGGAAAAAACAGCCTGAAACAGAGACGCGTGGAGATCTCTGATAGACGGCCTGTGCCTTGAGGGATAGTAGGTGTAATTAACTAAGTACTCAGTTTCGTCCAATATGTCATCGATTCATTAGGAATGAAATCGATAGCTTCACTTAACGAATGTTATGATACACAGTAAAGATATCCTACATATAACAAATTTTAGAAACTTACTTCCGCCAGGCAACCAAGAAATGCAACTGTTTGCACAGTTTTCCCTAGGCCCATTTCATCAGCTAATATCCCATTGATACCTTGATCGAACAAACCAAGCAGCCAGTTCAAACCACGGACCTGGTAAGCTTTTAACTGACCTTTAAATAACTTTGGTGTTTCAATTTGTGTAGTTGTACTAGAATCTGTATTATTATGAACAGGGGCGTTTAAATTGGGATTTGTTGTAGTTCCACTATGAAACTGTGATACCTAAAATTGTTGGAAATAGAAAATAATTGTCAATAAAAAACTAAGATTAGATAAAAAAATCATAGAAAACCATGGAAGAACTGGATACTTTTTCACTTCTATACCAAGACTTACCTCCAGTAGTTTGCATCCTGAACATCAAATAAAATTGGATCCGTGACCTTCAAGTCTTGTAATGAAGATCATACCGTCGATTCAGTCAAATTTAGCGGATAAGAATTAAGCATGAGTCTGGCCTTCATTTTACTAATTAATTTATTTATTTAAGAACTACCATCTGTTTAATTATCCCTCGATACTTTGATGTAAAGTATGACTACATATGTTTTAACTATGTCCTAAGTTGTTCAGCATTGACTGGCTCTCTGAAAATTCAAAATTTGGATTCTCAGTGTTGGTGGAAGTTACGATCAAGGCTCTTTATATGATTACCAAATTTAAACACAAACGATTATACCACGAATTCATGTGCACATTCAGATTCTAAGGCAGAAAACAGTCAGGGCTAACACAGCACAGTAATAGTGTTTATAGTTGCAGAAACTAAGGATGGTATCATTCTCTCTTTCAGGTTATAAAACATAATTTTAATTAAAACTGAAGATATGTTTCATTGATAAATCTCAACAAGTATGGAGTGCAGAATGATCAGAGATCTTTTTTAATTTCCTCCAGATCTTAACTGGACATGTGCTTTTGTTCCGAACTAGTAAGATGTAAGGAAATCAACAACTATAACATATTAACTATTACTAATTAACTAATAAGACATTACTGTTACTATAACAATGAATAATAACAATAATGATAATGTGGTGTGATACTGATGTCGACAGATATAGGTAGTATGTATCATCAATCGAAAGTGGAATGTCTGACGGCAGAATGTTAAGAAGAACGAAGAAAAGAGAACAAGAACAAAGAATGATTGGTCTGGAAATGAAGGAACAATGAAGTCTGAGATGATTGACCGATATTTGCAAAAGGAACAGTCAAGTTTGAGATAATTGACTGACATTTTGCAAATGAAGTATTTACTGTATGGTTATCACATTTTACTATGTTCTGTAATTTCTTCATTCAAATACATTCGATTGTCCCCACTTGTGTTCTCTTTCACTACAATAATAATAGTAATAATAATAAGAAGGAAAATGTTTATCTAGAGATAATGATTCATACATACACGATTACGCTCAGTTGTAACAGCTGCTTTGACCTTCATTAAAGCTTCGGATTTCGCTTGTTCAATATCTAAAATAAAGAAGGATAAATGGAAATATCAGCACGCTAAAGAGAATTTTCGTAGTTTCTGGAGACAGTGAACAGTTAATGCCATCATGAACTGACTTCAGTAGGACTATCAAAACGGAAGAGCACTAGACAGCTGGTATATGCATTAGTGCCTGATATCAAAATGAGTATCTTGAAATATTAATCAAAAGCCGTAATGTATGAAGTAAACTGTGCCGGAAGCGATGAAGTAACTCATCAGTGTCCCCAGACGGGGACTACGTTGTGTCAAAAATCAGTAAAGTTGAAGATTTGGACTACTGGATACTAATTTATTGAGCTAAGATAATTTTTTCTGTCACGAAACCAGAAGTTCCTGGTGGGGTCGTGAGTGCACAATAGTGGGACATTTAAAATTGAATAGTACTAACTGTTCAGTGCTCATTGTTTTTCAATAGTTCAGAAACTGAAATTTAGGTTAATAATTTGACTATTTAGAAATCATTTTAAATAAGATTTTCAATCTCTTCGATTACACAAACGACATATAGACAATGAGATTAATACTTTGATAAAACCTATCATAATAAAATTTAAAGGAGTATGCGTAGTTCAGGTTGAAATGGTAGCGTAATAAAAAGAAATACACAGGTTTAATACGACTAGTCTTGTTACTTCTTTTAAACAGTAATTTAACTCTGGAATAAAGACGTCATTAGTAAAAGAAATACAGGGATAAGCGCAAGCTGAAAAATATTGTAATACACCCCGTAATCTACGTGACTTTCTAAAATTCGAGTATTTCTAACTTTTTATTTCAGTCCACTGACAATGCTCTCTGTGCTAATGTGATTTTCAAAATAAAAACTAGAATGGGAAAACAAACAACATCAAATATTGCTGAGCCACACTAACAAATTAAGAGTTACATGCACAATCTGAACAACATTCCACCTTTAAAGGTGATAGATTATGGGCATAAGTGAAAGACTGAGTATTATGCAAGAATGTGACAAATAATTCCCTAAAATCCTAGGAAACAACTAAATATCATGTATGAAAGTTAGATCTTGGAAAAATCAAAGTTTATTGCCAATTGTAGCAAAGTAAATTTGTATGAATACACAGGACAGAAAAAAATATGGTAGTGATTGGTTATATAATGAACATAACTAACCATATTCTTCTTCAACATTAATACCCAACCGACAAGCTGCAGCTTTTGCAGCTACAGCTATTGAGCTGTATGATTTTCGGTGTGTAGATCCAGTCGATATACCAACAGAATCTTGATCATTCTGAATGGGATCACATGGAACAGATATGTCAGAACCAGTATCAATTCCTTCATCGTTAGTTTTTGTTTCTACAGAATCATCATCCATTTCTTCAAGTCGACGTAAGATTCTTTGAGCTTCGATTTCTTGACTGTCGTCTTCTTGAATCACATTACCAGATACTGATTCAGCATTTTCAGGACCACGTATATCTTCAGATTTACAATTACCTGAGTTGACATCCGCCATCTTTTTCGCCATGAAATGGGCATATAATTCTGTTTGTGTAATCAAGAAATTCAGTTTTCGTTGTTGTCTTCTTGCCTCCAAAAGTTCTAAGTCGGCTTTACGTTGTTCAGCTGCAGCCTTCTCTGCTCGTCGACGTATAGCTGTACTTGATTCCATCACTGAAGTAGACATGTTCAACTCTAAACCTCCACTTTCTGGGCGGGCAGAAGTGTAATAATCAGGTAAATCCATAAGTGAAGAGAAATGAGTAATATTAGAATTCGATGGTATAGTTACACCATTGATTGTAAGTGGACCAGAACCATTAGCTGTGCTCGAAGTTGAGCTACGCCAGTTAGATGCAATTTCGCGTGACAGACGATGTCCACGACCTTTAAAGGAAGCAGAAATGTACAAATAAAAGACGCCAGCACGTCTAAAATAACCAAAGTTTAGGATGTTTATGATATATATGGGTGTGAGCAATGGCTTTATGATTTAGGCAATCAACTTTCAATCACTGACTCGTAGGTTCAAACCTCACTCCACCGAATTTGGTTTCAGAGTTTCAGTAGTATTGTTAAGCCTCAAAGTGGGTCAAAGTTGAATACATAAACCTATATTTAGTTACTCAGTTATTTTATATGTACTAGCAGCTTGTCTAGTCAATGTTCCTATAAGTCTAAAACGTGTTCCAATGGTTTTACTGTCCTCTGAGCTTTTAAAAGAAGATTAATAAGTTGCATAAAAAAATAAAATTGGATGATTTAGCAATTCTTAAATTTGTATTTCATATTTGTTACTAAAAGGTTACAATAAGGTACATCTATAAACGGGAATAAGCTTATACATCTTAGAAGATCTGAACCCAAATCATTTAGGCTTGCGGCCAGAAAATTATTGAGACAGAATAATCACAAAAGCAACGGCTTTTAAACGCTTGACCCTTGAACACTCGACTTATAGTAAATCAGTGGATTTATGCGCTAACCTCTACAACAATAAGACAATTCAAAATATTTGCTCATTATATTCATTATGCTGCGTAGAGAATCGGGAAGTATTGTAAGTATAGAGAAAAATTCACTTGCAGATCAAAGTTGAAAACATTTTACTACGATCTTAGGAGAATCCGTCATAATAAGGAGTCGATCAAAATAAATTCAATAGAAAAATTAAAGCAAACAAAGGCAGAAAGGATTGGGTTACAGCAGTGATGGAAATATAAGTTTATCAATGATTAGATATAAGTACAGAGCCACTATTTTAAAAGCCAATAAACTAGATAAAACCATGGCTAGAGTTGCTCTTTCTTTCATTATCTATGTGTAAGTGATTTTATTTATTTATTTGAACACATAAGCATTGATACCAGGTGCAACCAAATGCATACGCGGCACACAATAACGATGGGGTTATAAAGGGATAGAGAATGTAAAGTAAGTATAATAAAAAGAACGAACAGAAATTCGTGTATGAGAGTGAAATAATAATAATAATCGGAGAAACAGTTCAGCTAGCAAAAATATAACCCTAAAGAATTCTTTCAGTTAAACAAGTTACTCTCACTTTTACGAAGTAACATAAAGTTAGAGCAGGATCGCCACTGACTTTTAATCTGAGTCATGTCTCATAAGGTCCCAAGTCACTTTGTTGCATCATCTCTATGAAATCAACCAGGGAGTCGTGAAGGACCAACAGAAGCCAGTCCTTTGCAGCTTTCTTTCATGCCACGACACCATGTCATGCACTGACCACCTCTCCACTTCTTCCAACCAGTCCCAGAGTCGGCAAATAATGCACGACGTGGAATTCTCTGGGACGTTATTCGAAGAACATGTCCAAGCCACCGAAGTCGGTGTTTCAAGATGATGACATCGATTGCATTATCATCTCTGTGCCCGAACACACGATGCTGAACCTCTGCATTACTAACATGGTGTTGCCACTGGATGTCAGCAATTCTTCGGAGATAGTGATGATCAAACACAGAGTCGTCTAACATCCTCAACTCGGAGAGGTCAGGTTTCACAAGCATAGAGCAGAACTGCTCTCACCGACGAGTTGTAGACCCGACCTTTTACAGCCAGACTAACATCACGAAGGCGCCAAAGATGACGCAGATTGCCATAAGCCGCTCTGGCTTTCACTATACGTGCATTGATCTCATCACTCACACCCCCACCAGCACTTATGCAGCTACCCAGACACATGAACTTTCGACTATTTCTATTTGCTCACTACCCAGGGTGAGTACAGGATTAGGATCCTGCCAGTCTTGTAGAAGTACTCTGCACTTAGAAGATGCAAAGCACACACCATACCTACGGCCACTGATTAAGTGTGGATTGCATGGCTTGGGCATTATCGCACAGTAAGACAATATCATCCGCATACTCAAGGTCGAGAAGTCTTTCTCCAGGCAACAGATCCACACCGCCATTACTTACATCCATCAGAGCTGTTTCCAGAATGTCATCGATGGCAAAGTTGAAGAGGAATGGTGAGATTGGGCAACCCTGCCTAACCCCACTGCTCGAATGGAACAATGGAAAGAGGTGGTTGTATGTCCTCACTCTGCCTGAGGTGTTTGTATATAGGGCTTTTAGGATGTTAACAAACTCATCAGACACACCCTTCTTCAATCGACAATCCCAGAGAACAGTCCTGTCCAACGAATCGAAGGCAGCCTTGATGTCAAGAAACGCTGCAACTGTTGGTGTGTGATAAGCATGATGGTGTCCTAACATTTGGCGGAGGGTGAAGATATGGTTAATACATCGTTTACTAGAACGAAACCCAGCCTGCTCCTCACGAGTCAATCTTTCTCGGTTTTTGAACAACCTACGAAGTATGATGGAAGCCAACAGTTTGGACGTAATCGGAAGTAGACTTATCCCTCGATAGTTGTTACAGAAAAGACGTGAACCCTTTTTAAAGATAGGGACAACTATCGACTCATTCCATGACGTTGGTACACTCTCTAGTTCCCAAACCTTTGTAAACAACGTCGTCAATTCCTTAGTCAGAAAGTCACCACCATCTTTAGAAAGAGCCGGGGGTAAGTCATCTGGGCCAGGTGATTTGTAACGCTTCAAGAGTTGGAGTTCCTCGCGGACTTCCGCCTCATTTAGTGGATCAGTCGTCACCGGCCATGGAGGGCAGGACATTCTGACCGATGTTGCCGGAGCACCAGGCCAGTTGAACTGCCCTTCGAAAAATTATGCCCATCGTCCAAGACGTCGATGGATGTTAGTGATTAGCATCCCGTCAACCCCACAGATTGTTTCGCTCACACCAGACTTCTTGCTGCCAGTGGCTCGGATGAGTTGGAAGAGCTTCCGGTAATTACCAGATGCAGCTGCTGCTTCCAGCTCATTAGCACGCTTTGACCACCAGGCTTCTCGGTCCTTACGCGAGCTTTGCTCGACTTCATTACGTAACAGTGGTCGTTTGTGGTCAAACTCACGGTCACTTGGAGTAGACCGACAGGCTTCAATGAGTTGTAAGGAGCCTGAAAAAATCCAGTGCTTATAAGCAGGACGTTTCGCGAAGTCGCAAGCGACTTCACTCGCCATTTTCATGGCGTCATGAAGTTGCAACCAATGCTCATCTATACTTTTCGGTGAAATGGTAGCTAGCCTAGAAGCTAGCTCGGTTCGATACTTAGTTGCAACCAACTTGCTGACATCAATCCTTTTGTGGCGGTCACTTCGTTGGACAATGAAAAGTAAGGTAAGATTGGCGCAGATCAAGGCATGATCAGAGTCCAGATAGGTACTCCAAAAGGGGCGACAATCTTGTACACAACCACGCCAGCGGTAGCTGATCGCGACGTGATCAATCTGAGTCTAGGCTTGAGGTGCAAATAAAGGATGCCAGGTGGCACATCGGCGATGACTGTGCCGAAAGTTAGTGCTAGCCAGAAACAGGTTGTGGTCTGTGCATGGTTGCAGTAGACGGTCCCCGTTATCTATCCTGCGACCAACAAGTCCCTATTGGCCACCTAAACGACTCTCTTGTGTGCCTAGACGCCCGATCTGAGCATTCAAGTCTCCGGATAGTACTACAATATCTGTCGTACGCACTTTCTGGAGAAGAACAGATAACTGGTGGTAAAACTCATCCTTGATTGCAGCCGGGCTGCAATCTGTCGGGGCATAGGCGGAGATGACGAAAGGACATCATTTCTCACGCCGATTTCTTCTCACTTTGTTGGAACTCTCTAATCTAACAGCACGTAATCGACTGTTAATGGGGATCCAATCGATTAGTGCTGCCTCAGCTCTAGCGCTTAGTGCGACACCAGCGTCAAAAAACTAAAGGATATTCCACAGGGTCCCTATATAAACACACGTGAAACAGGTTTTCCGAAGCGACAGATGGAGGGAATTTGCAGTACCTTAGTAGAGTCTTGAGTACGGATCTTGGATAGACAACAGACATGTTGAGACTTTCTAAAGATATAGCCAACCCTATATGTTGTTCGATCTGCATTAGTGTGCGAACGTTGAAGGAAGCCAGTTTGAATGGCATACGTGATTTCAGAAAGACTGTTTCAGTATACGTATTCGGTGGGATCATTCAACTGTCGACCAGTCAGTGACTTGAGGTCGTTCTTATGGACAGGGTTCCCACCATAGGCGAGTTTCTGTATAAGTTGAAAAATAAAATACGCGAAATGAAAATAAAAGGGAGTAGTAGAAAAGAAATAGAAATTTTATCATATGATTGTAAATAAGATTTGTTTGAGTGAGCGTTGAAGCAACAGTAATTTTTCTAGTAGTAGTTATCATTGGTAGAGTCAGTCTACAGTAATCCAAAGAAAATCTTAATCATTACTCTATTCTGGTTCAAGGTAATTTTAATTATGGATAGATAGTTGATAATGAGGTAGCTAGTATACCAAGTTATGGAACGAGTAGGATCTCAAGCTTACACACTGAATCGGCTGGATTAGAACAGGAACATTGGTCTACCAGAGTTTTTTGGTACCTGTGTTTGCGCCACAGGGTTGAGCTGTGCTGTTAAGGCCGTGTAAAGACTTGGATGGTGTCTCTTGAAAAACCAATGTAAAATCTCTTTCTTGTAGGGTGACATTTATAGTTGTAAAAACCACGTAGTAAGGAGAAACCGAATAAACGAAGTAGCAGATCACTAACTTGTACCTAAATACAACCTCATAGTATTTATTATAGGATATAAATAGCAAGTTACATGCACAAATTTCTTTAGATTTACATGCCTTTGGTGCAACATAAATCTAGTTAGAAAGCTTTTAAGCAGATCAAAAAAGATCTACTCAGATGACATCACAAAGAAGCCAGAATTTACTAATCGCGTGCTTAAAGAAATCAGCAACCAGTAAGGCATATGTTCACGGGGAATTGAAAATAGAAAATATGAACCAATCGTGAGAAACTACCTTTCCTAAAACTAAAACTCAATGGAGATTTAGTGAGCGATGTCCTATATAGTGGATTAGTGAGAGCCGTTAAAAAAACTTTTTAAGCAGCTAATCGTACCTCAGCATTTCCTAGTTGACTAGTAACATCAACTTAAACTAAGAATAGTTTACCTGATTTTACCTCTCCTATGTGTATCTTCTACAAACTCAACTACTCGTTCGGAGATAGCTATATAGGGGATACCATAAAGCAACTTAACCAACAATTGAGGGAACATCTTGTTTTGGAAAGGGTCAGACGAATACAAAACGTAGCGTTGTCTTGCCGCATTTGGTCGACAGTAGCTACGTGAGAGATAAAATTAAATCATTTCAAGTGATCTGTCGTATAGCATAATTGTTTTCCGACGGGCTTCGACCTCGTCTTAATATAACAGAAGCGACAAGAATTTAGACACTGTTCTTTCCATGACTGGATAAAGCATAAAAGACGGCTTTAGTAATAATATTTATTCTTATTTTCCACATCCTTTATAAGATTTTTCCATCAACCTCTTTCGTTTATATTCCTCACTATTTAGTTACTTGAAAATTTTAAACGTAATCCTAATTATTTTTAATGATTGCTATTTTTGTGTCTATAGTTGCAAGTGTTAACAAACTTTCTATGTTGAAACTTTGATTCAAGCCTTTATGCTCATATCTATCTGTCATTTTGCTATCAATTTGCACATCTTACTTATTATGCTTGATTATGTGATCTATTTTGCTGTTATTATTGACTCACAAACTACCTTGGTTGATTTACTATTTTTCATACATGTAAATGTTGCTGTCTTGTAAAGAACTAATAGAAAACAGAATTGTTCGCTTAAATGTATTGTCTTGATTGGATAATCAAAAACCTGACTATTTAAATTTGGTCCATAATTTATGCACCAAGGTATCTTGAGTATCTCTCTAAAGGCACTCAAGATCACAGAATTTATGCATTTAAGGTATACCTTAATTAAGAAGGAAATAAGAAATGGACACTTACTTATTGAATCTCTAGCAGCTTTTTGGGAAAGCAATGCCTTTTGACGTAACAAACGTGCGCACTCACGAGCAGCGCGTTTTGCTAGGATTATCTTATCTCGACGATTAGTACCACGTTGCCTTGCCACCTTACAAATTATCTTTTTAGCCAAAGATTTCCACGCACGTAACACTTTAGCTGAAAGTCTCCTAGCTGCTGGAACACTAGAGACTGTGCTTAAGACGGCATCACCAGATTTGACTTGAAGATCTGACTGTATTTTACGTATACTTGGACGACCAGCAGCAGCACGCGCAGAAAATGCTTGACGTTGGCGAGAAACTATAGCAGTCAACTGGTCTTCTTCCTCATCATCGTCTTCATCTAGATATTGGGATTTGTTGTCAGTATGTGTGGTCCTTTTCAGATTTTCAGCTGGAATGGATGGTTTGTTTATATCACGCCGTTTTAGTAATGAGTTATTGTAACAATGTTTTCGCGACCATGATGAATTCGGAGGATAATTGGATGGACGACCGAACTAGATGTGAATAAATTAACACAAAAGTATTGGTTTACACATGGTATTTAAAGGGTTATAGTTGCTTAAAGTGCAATATTAGTGACCTTATAGTCTGGAGTTTTATTTGCAATCTGTAATCGACAAGTAAAAATAAGCTTCAAGCTTACCAAAAAGCTACTACACAAACTTTTCAAATACTTTTACATCTACTGTTTTTTACTCGCTATACATCCTAATTTAAAATTATGTACTCTAAACCGATTCATAAAGAGTAACACTTCATTCTAAAATTCCACACTTAAGGAAAGTTTTCATATATTAAGGAAACAGTTTGTATTGTTAAAGGAACGACATGAAGTTATATTTTTTTTCTTACAGTTAAAACGTCAATATACTTTAACGGAATCCCTAAAGTAACAATTAACATTTATCTAGCAAATCAAGAGCAGTGGTCACGTGGTTACGACATTTGACTCTTAGATACAGGATTGCAAGTTCAAACCCTACATTTACTTAGGTAGGGTAGTTCAGTATTATCACCAGCCCTTACATATGAAGTGCAGACTAATTCCGTGTACACGAAACCATACTTGTTAAATGAGTCGCACTAAATATGTAAATTAAATTTAGAAGACTAAGAGAACTAACTTTTGAAGATCGATTGCCACGAATTAATTGAGTTGATTTTCGTTTACGCATACCAGAAACAAAGCTTGAATTCCTCCACGACACAGCAGAAGTAGAAAGGTTTCTTTGTGACATCTTTTTGATGTTGAGATCACCGGGCATCTCCATGTTCTTTTGAGACAGAACATCCTCAGAAAATGCCTGAATACCAACTGAAGCTAAAACAGATTGTCTTTCTTTCTCTTTCATACACGCCACAAGTTCACGAGCTTCTGATCTCCATTCAGCCAACAAAATATGAAACTCCCGTAAAATTTGTGGAGAAAAAGAGCTTATGGGACGCGATTGTTCACCTTCAGAAGGCTTAAGTAGCTAAAATTCAGAAAGTGTGATTACCTTTACAACAGTAAAAAGAAATAAAAGACAGGTAGTAAAAGAAAGTAAGACCGATGAAAAAATCGACCTGCAATTTGTTTGGAGTTGGGATAATCTGACAAGTAATTAATTTGGTGTAGCGTTCAATACGTCTAAGCAAAAGAACGAGCGCAGTGTCAAGTAGAAGATTCTGACATGTTCTGCCTTATTTGGGAATATTCAGTTTAAAGTCCTACCCAGAACTAATAACCCCGATGAAAACTGAGCCAATAAAAGCATGTTCAGCAACCTTTATAAATCTGGGGCTTTGAATGCCCGGTTCCACATTTTTCCCTTGATCAGCAGTCACTAAATTTAATTTACTAGCGACATACTATGCTGACAAATCTATTTTATTACAGCTAACAAAACGCATAGTCTATACAAAAGTAGGTAAGATGGTTTCGAACAAATAATCAATTGCTGACTAACTCACTGAAGGAATTAAAAATTAAAGGTATTCTTACTCCTGACATACATGACTCACTCAAGCCTACTGGATCGAACACACCGCGACTATATGGTTTACCTAAAGTTCACAAGACAGGTCTTCCTCTTCGCCCAGTTTTAGATATGTATAATTCGCCTTATCATAAAACTGCAAAGTGGCTAGTTCGTATCCTAAACCCCTTACACAAACTAGTCGTCAATAGGAGCGTGAAAGGCGTCTTCGATTTCATTTCCAAAGTGGAACATATAAATTTAAATGGGAAACGAATGATATCTTTAGATGTTGCTTCTCTGTTCACCAACGTACCGTTAACAGAGACTATCGATTTTGTGTGCCAACAACTGCAGGAAAAGCAAATCAATATTGGAATTCCTGAAGTTTGTCTTAAAGAATTTCTTTTGAAATGCACAATGAATGTCCATTTTGTCTTTAATAACACATATTATAGACAAATTGATGGTATAGCGATGGGTTCGCCACTGGGTCCCTTGCTTGTGGATTTTTTTCTGGCGAAACTAGAAAACGGATCTCTCAAAGAGGCTATCAATAAACTGGATTTCTACTGTCGTTACGTTGATGACACATTCATCATTGCCGATCAGAACATTAGAAAAGAACAACTACTGAAACTATTTAATAACAAACATCCTGCTATTAAATTTACATGTGAGGAGGAAATAGATAACAAACAAATTTCCTGGACGTTTTGTTAAGTAGAAAAGAAAATGGTTCTATCAGCAGAGGTGTGTATAGGAAAAGTTCTTCTCCAAGCCAATACACACATTTTTTAAGCTTTGTGCCTCTTGCAAATAGAGCTATTAAGATATGCTCAGTCGACACAATTGATAGAAAATTAAAACACATTCATAATATTTTGATTGAATTGGGATATCCACTGGGGTTCCTGAAGAAACACTTGCGGGTGCAAAACAAGAAAATAGTGACTGATGGCTAATAAGAAACCGCTTTTCTTGAAGCTGCAATTCAATGGTGATTTAGCTAGCGATGTATTACGGGATAGATTGACTAGAGCAGTAAAGAGAACGTTTAATGCTGCCAACCTCTGCCTATCGTAATCGACCCGATCGATGGTGATTCCGCAATTAAAGGATAGGTTACCTGGTTATGCCACTTCTATGTGTATCTACGAATTCAGCTGCTCCTGTGGAGAAAGCTATATTGGGCGCACTACCAGGCAACTGAACCAACGAGTTAGTGAACACCTCCCTTCGTGGTCGGGAAAAGGTTACGTCAAAACAATACGCAGCTCGGTTCTATCACACGTGATCGATAGCGATCATATAGTGGACAGAAACAAGTCGTTCAAAGTTATTTATCGTATTCACACTAGTTTTCCTTATGGTAATTTGAATAGTTCCGTATCTTGTTTGCTAATTCATATTCATCGATTCAGTGACATTGATACATCCAGAGGTTGCTGGTTCACATAATTTTACGGTTACAGTAGATGAAGGGTTATTATGACAATGGAATGGATATTTTTTAACAAACCGATGGGTTTTGTTTGGGACAAATCCTGAATTAAGGATTTTCACAAAACAGATTCGCTGATTAATTATGATACAACAAGGACTTAAACGCTGTTAGTTGTCTACAAAATATTCAAGATAAATAGCATTACTAAGCGATTTATCAGTTAGCAAATGATCAATCGATGGTGCAAGTAAATGTTACACAACAACCAGTAATTGACCACTTTTTTTCGTCACAATGAAGACAGATTTAAGTATCTCTTGGTTCATCTGATAATGACTGGCAATGAAATTCATAAACCATTTTCTGATCTTGTTTTACTAAAAAATTTGCTAAATTTGACAGTAAAATGATGGGTTAATTACTTTACGATGGTGAACCTTCGTTATGCAAAGAATACAAAGAGGCTAGAACCAAAATAGTTCAGCGAAATGTTGGAATGTTACAATTTAATCTTGATATTTATTCTTGAAAATCTTCCCGTGTACAAAATCCAAGAGCGTAGTAATGTTAATCAACAATTGTAATGTGTGATTATTTTATTTTTTATTTCACGTAACAGTAATTAAGCTTACTCCGTATTCAGGGTGTGAAGAGCATTTTTTAAGCCAGTATTCATTTTCCAAATTGTGGACTGAAATAACAAAGCGAATAGAAATAACTCAGTCTTTAAAACAAAATTACTTTGAGAATCATGATTATGTTATTATATAAGTGCAGTTGAAAAAACCAAACCATTTCCTTGTTCCCATAAATAAACGATTCCCTCATGCATATATCCATCTAGACTAAATATGCATTTAGTGTAAAAAACAGGAACTCAAAATGCTGGAAAGTAACTATTTGTGAACATCACCGACAGCATCGATTACCATAGAAGTGATAGTTGGGTTTAGGTAAAAAATACGAGATATCTGTAAAGTCCTTGTAACCCATAAGTGGTAATAGCGATGTGTAATCATCTTGCGATATTGAGATCAATCAGAAAAAGAAGATTCGGTAGGAGTATAATTCATGGACGACCTTTGAGCGAAGTTGAAGTGACCTTGAGAAACGACACCTACTGATCAGGACTAAATGAGGGTCATAAACCAACTAGAATTGTGTTTTACGATTGATGGTTACAGCTAAAAATTAGATTTAGGGTTTTCATCACGAACTGGCATCACCTATAATGCCAAAACTCTATTTAGCCAAATGTACGAATGAATTTCGTGCCAACATACAAGACTATCTTACATCTGACTGGTTCATCCGTAAATAATAGCCCCACCGAAGATTTCTAATTGAGGATAACGTCCTTGATGGTAGCAACAAAAATGAAATAACAATCCTAAGAGAACTGAAGACTCATTTTAGCATGAATACAAATGTTCTAACGGGTTAAATTTAATAGACTATTATACGGTAGGAATAAGTATGTAGCAAACAAGTCAAATTGATCAGAGAATTTTCATTCATAAAGCTGTAGCACAACATCCGTTGTAGATCAGTATCTCATACAGTTGCATAAAAGGACTGCTAGTACAGACATTAGATAGTCGAATATGAAGTCCACTTCACTCAGAAACTAACCAAACCTTGAGAGCTAATATAGATCTTGCATGCAGCGCCAAGCAGTTTACATATGAGTATAAAAACAGAACTGAAGCAGTAAAAATATATGTACTTAGAGCCCAACCGTTAGACCCAGAATCTAAATATCCACAGGCATGTTTCAAGAGCACATTGCGAACGTTTATGATATAGGAGGTTCTCTTAAGTTAAACATCCTCAGTACGATTGAAAGTCGTCTCTGCGACGGTAAATGAAATAAAGACAAGATCATAAACCTGTGTTTCAACACGTATATATTCCACTGCATAAGGTAACTATTAGTGTATGTAGAAGATCCCGTCATCCAAGATTTCAAAACGGCGAATAAATTATTACAGAACAGTAGAGTCAAATTAACGAAAAGCTGCACGACTAAAATATACGTCTACACAACAAATGATCTTTATAACACTAAGAATTGTTGGAATATTCCAACAATAAATATTAAATTTCAAATGAAATCAAAACGGATGCGACATTTGTAAACTCACACATCATAGGATTCACGAAAACCGACTTGGGGAAACTTTGAAGTCTCGGTGTCTTATCCATTTCGCCATCCATTTGTTTTCTAACGATTTTTAACTACATATTCGAACAACCTCGGGTGCAGTGCAACTCAAACTCCCTCTAATATTCAGTGTCCGATAAACAATACCTATGTGTCAAGCATATTCCGACTGACTTTTTTGTTTTGATACTGGCCAAGATATTTGCTACTGTTCAACTGGTAATAGTCCAGTCACTCGACTGAACGAGGTGCAGTCGATTTGGAAGTTATTTGTGGATTTATGCGCCTTGTAAAGTTTCTTTTTCCCCATAAAACAGAGTTTTTGGCTAAGTAGCTATCGCATAAACATACAGAAGGTTTTTGGTTGCAGTGCAAGAGATCATAAAGATAAAATATTGGGTTCAGAAGATCTAAGAAGAGACAAATGCCTGAAGATGTGATAAACATGGGTAAACTGTTGTGGCGAACAAATCGCTTGAATAAACAGGTTCATAAGTCTTCGACATTGATTTGGACGTATTACTTATGCTGGTCACAGACCTAGTTGAGTGCCCTCGGCCAAGCGTCTTCATCACTTCAATTTTTACTTGGCTATGCAGCTTATTTCTTAGGACGACTAGTCAATTTGCATTCCAAACAGATCGGCACATCAACCGTTTTATCAGATATTTCTCTTATCCTATCTTCCTTGGATTCGAATTTCGCAAGCCTCGTACTATGATAGGTTTTAGATAGTGTAGATGTCAGAAACGTCATTTTCAGTGGTGAGCCTTAAAGATACCTATGAATCTTCTCCTAATCCTAGCATTATATATATTTGTTTATGTATTGTGATATTCTCTGTCCTGGAATATCACGGTTGGATTATGCATCTTATCCCTATTACGCAACTGATGCCAGATAATATTGAGATCAGATCAGCTTATTCAGAAGCTAACCTTTCATGGGCAAGGGATGCTGGCTCCACGAGCTCAGTTACTCGCAGTAGAACAATCTGGCTCAGTAAACGAAGTCCGACAAAAGTGGTTTAAAGAAACTTAACATTCCTTCACATTCTTATCCAGACGGTTGACATATAGGGAATCGTGGTATAACACTTTCAGTAGGGAACTCCTAGCCATGTATTGTACTGTATGTCACTTTTAAAAACCAATTGATGTTCGGGCATTCGATCTTTACATCGATAATAAACTTCTTGTATTTTCTAGTAACCCATCCCCGTACAGTTACCCCTCTTCAGAGTCCGGAAAAGTGAACTTCGTCCTTCAATTTACTTATGATACACACATATTCTTGTGGTAAACAATGTGGTTACAAGATAATCCTCTCTTATATATTCATTGAAAAGTTTCTGAACAATCGATCTTAAACGCTTCTATATTTCAAAACGAGTTATCGTCTACAACTCTAAAATTGTGGATCAAACAGAGAGGAATAGGTAAGTAGACTTTACTATTTGACTCACTTACTGGTAAGTATGATCCTTCCGAAACATTATCATTCCGAATTTTTGAGTTATTTTGCACAACGCTTCTTATCCGGGGATTCGAGCGGTTACCAAGCTCATTGCAAGAAGCTCTTGCTAGACTGGTATTATTAAAGACGTGAGGAAGCGTGAACGCTCTTATGTTGGCTGTCAGAAATCCGTAATTTCCTCCCCTTTTACTAAACATTTAGAGATAACACGATTCTGAATGACAGTTTTCCACCAATGGGTCGGTATAACGGTTTTTTTGAAAGTTGAGAGACTTAATTTCAGCTGTAAAGGATCATATTGGACTGACTCTTCCACTCATGTTGTAAGGGATCCACAACGCAGTGTGTGTTGACTCCGGGTGTATTGCAGGGGAATACGTTTATGGCATAACACTTAAAATTTTCTAGATGAATTCACGCATTTTTCATCTTCTCTGAATGTGGATCTAATTTCCTACCCAAGCGGGCATGCAAACGCAATACGTTCAGTTAAGCTTTCTTTCACCTAATCGCAAACAACTGGCGTTGTCGCTAAATTTGCGTTGCGATTTAATATGTACGTTTTCGCAAATTGTTACACCGATCCCTCGAAGCTGCGACTGAGGACAGTACTAAGGTTTATGTCGTAAACCTACATACTGCACCAAAAAGGACAACGTCTAACATCGACTGGCTAAAGACTGCTTAGTTCGAAGTAAATCCATTTGTCCAGTTTAACGCTACATAATCGAACGACACAGTCAACGCGACTATGATGGTTTCTACAATACTTAACGACCGCAATGAAAATTCGTCAGTATCTGATAATTGGCCGAAAGGTTCTGCAAGAACCATAAAGTCCCATAGATCATAGATGAGTACTTTTTAAATTTACTGAGCTTCCTTCTGTTCACATCACTTTTCCAGTTCTGCAGTTAAATGATTATACTGCAAAACATTCTATCCCGGGATAGCGGTATATACTACTTATGTTGGTATAAGTAGCACATATCACAAAACGTCTGCCTGATCACGTCCTCGGATCGTCGCCAACCCACAAGAGTTGAAGTTATATGTAGCGGTGAATTCCCGAAATAAATAGCCATACAAACCTTCGACAATGATCTTGATCTCATTAGTTTTACTGGAAGCCTTCTAGCTGAAGCCACTCAGATAACAGTTCGCACCAGATAACCATTGGACACGCAGCGCTTCACAACCAGTCACCTTAGATTACAGATTTACATACACACTACCTTCCAAATATATACATATATATTCGAACTCCTTCATTCCTGACTTTGGGTTTGACTGAGCGTTACAGAAAGCAACTTTGTCAAGAATCGTTTGCATGTTTCATCGTTGGTGTTATTCAGTACTGAGTATCAGTAGCATCCTTAGTTGCTTAGAATACTTAGAAATAATTGCTACACTGATATATTTCATCTTCTTTATTACTAGATTAGGAAATTACGGGGGGATGTCAGGCAAGTTCAGAGGCTGTGAATGAACAGAATACCTAAGACATCGCATAAAGTCATCAACTCTTAGAAGCTTCCAACCGAAGAAGTGGTGTACTCACATTCTGATGACTCAGTTTAGAGAAGATTGAACAATCACAGTAGCATACTAGCAAAAATCCAGAACAAGCTGTCAGCGTCCTTTCTTCGATGTTAGAATCTGAATCAAGAGACAAACTGTATATTGGATGTAGAAACTAGATAGCCTTGGGTAGCAGTAAAACAAGTCGACTTTATAAGCCATGTCATTGGCTTGCTATCACATCTGTCGGTCATGGCACCGAAACTGGGTTATTGGAAAATCAGAGGCGTAAGTGTATCATTTTAAAAAGGAAGATTCTACACTTATTTTACAATGCTGGAGTTTTAGTAAGGTTCTGCCCAAGCAACCAATAAAACGGAAATAATGATAAACAAAGGGGAAACGCCAAAATGTCTGGTTTCTCACTTGACAGGAGAAAATAATGTGGATTTCCCCCTTCATATCATTCTATGTTTTAAATGTCGCTAAATTGTCTACTTTTCGCCTAAATACACACCGATTTATCTAAAATTGCTTCAGTTTTTAACACACCTTTGGTCTAATCGTATGTCTCTTACGTTCGCTTTTATTTCCATAACACACCACACGACAACTGCAATCAACGTTAAAAATAGTACGTGTTTATAGAAATTTATTGAAAAGAAAAAACTTCATATTGTACAGATGTTGACAGATGTTAAAGTATCGATTTTTATGTATTTTAATTATAATTTCCAAGTCTTATCGTAAGTTGGAAAGATCTGCAAAAGAAAGAACAGGTTGTGTTATTGATCGGGCACGTGTATATAATTACAAATGCAGTTAAAATCAAACAGGCTTCTCAACACTCACTCAGCGAGTTTCCCATGCAAGTTAGAAAATAAGCGCATGTTTAAAAAATGCTTTCGAAAACGAAGTTGAACATGAAATGTTTATTCCACTGGTAATGACTGTGCTGTTACAGTTGGTGGGATCTCATCACAACTAATTTCAATGTTGACTGCTATTAATGCAACGTAAATCACTGCCAAAGTCAGTTACCTTTGGTCATCCTTTCACTACCAGACTGACTAAATGAAAGCAAGTTATGTTTTCTTCATTAAAGCCGTTCTCATTTTATTCCACTGTCTAAGTCTATCTATGACAACAGTGCGTTATTTTGTAGAGGTTTGTGAAAATGTAAGTATAGGGCTCTATCCAAACATGGCACGTTACGTATATTTGTCTACAAATTTTCCCCAAACATACGATTTATGGGGGGGGGGAATCGATATTTCCGCCAAATAACCGATGCGAAGAAGAAAAATCGGCCTTTCTGCTTCATTTACGCTTTCGTCCGCGTGTCTTCGATTGCATTTGTCAATCACTTTGTTAATGTACTATGATATTGAAGTGTGAAATGTTTGATGCATTTTCCTGATAATTTTTGATTACCTGGGTTCACTCATGTGGTAGCACTCTTTAGAGTTTGGACAATGTTTTCTGATAAACCTTTGGACTGAGAATGTGGTGCTTTTGTGCTGGACCAGAAATATATCAACTCAAAAGTAATAACAAAGTTATTACGTCCAAAATTCAAGGGGTTAATATATTAAATATAGTTTATAAACGCAGGAAAAAATTACTGGACGTTACTTAAATTGTCAGGACCTGGAGTGTTCTAGTTGCATTTGGTATAATAATCCACAATTATGGGTAATTAATAATTCCAATAAAGACCGTTATAATTAGAGCTGTTTATGTAGACAAGGTATATAATGGGAATATAGCTGTGGTCTGTAAATGTAGATAATAAGTGCATCAAGGTTCAGTTATCACAACAACAGAAAATTGAGAACGAGAGACATATATGTAGCAGTGTATCTGGGAGTGGTTACCAGTGTATCGTGCTATGGGGGATTCAAAATATAAAAGGGAGTATCAAGGTCATGCCATTTTAAACAACTATTTTACAATCACTCATAGTAAATGTACAAACTATGAGAAATAATGAGAGATATGCAAGTAGTATCAAAAACTAATTACAAAATAATTTCGTTGTCACAATTTCCATATTGTAAATTGATAACGCCACTAGATGTCAGTAAGCCATCTGGGTTTCGTTATTATTTACTTATATATTGGGTATCCCTTAACGACTTTATGTCCTCTTTATTACTCTTTGAGTAAAGCTTTTGCAAGGACTGTTCATGAGTGACACTCCTGTAATATGAACTTATAATAACCAAAGGATACTGAGTTCAAAATTTGCCAAGGAAATCCACATAAATACGTTGCCATGATTCCAAGTATGTTTATTTTTATAATAGCTTATGTAAACATTCAGGACAGTTTTCTCTGCTCTTAAATGGGTGGAGTTAAGGTCGTCTTGTACTGCAAATGTTGGTGTTGGTTGGAGGACGAAAAATCTTCAGGATGTAGTGATGTATTCTCTCCTTTTATAAAACTTAGGAAGGCTACTCTTGCAATAGACATTTCAACCTCTTCACTGCATTTATGACAGTTTAAAAATATGACTATCTATTACATGTTCTCCTCTATCAACTGGTAATGGTAGTACCAACATACAATCACTTTAAGTTGCGTGGTAGAAAATCTGCATGTAGTATGCTTTTAGACATACTGTTCTCCATGGTGAAATCATAAGCACTCATCTATATATTCCATTTCTAGATCATGGGAGCAGTTGATCGATGAACCTAGTCGAGTATTAGTTATTTATCACACACTATTATCTAGATAAAAACTGATCAGCGAAAAAAACTTTCACATGAATTTACTTCACCCCAACTCATTTCACTTAGTATACCAACAATTATTGTGAGTGAAATTATTGACATGTAGTATAAACTGCGAGAGATAGTAAAAGGATTAGTTGTTAACTAGTATTATACTCCAGAAATAGGTTTCTAAGCTTTAATAATCTGAGAACGAGATTCAAAGTAGTGTATAAACTAAAATAACAAATGAATATTCATAAGTACTATGTTCATGCCGTTTTGCGATGTTTACAATAATTTCGAATTACAATCGTTTGGAAGAATTTCCGAATACATTACGCTGTCTGTACCAACACCTGACACCGTATATTAGTAATCTGCATTCAAATAAAAAAGACAAGACTTTCGGAATTTGTATAAGAATGACGTATCGGTGAAATCCCCCGCAAAAAATCAAATTAACTTTGTACCCACTCGGTTATGTACTGAATAAATTCACTGAATAGCAAGTACAGAAGTTATTGAATTGAATAATTGTTACTTGTACACAAAATCACCTAAAATTAATTCGATCGAATATGATACTGAACAAAGTGATAGAAAATCACGATGTATTAATTAGAACGAATTAATTTTGTGCTGAAAAATATCAAACTGAAATAATCAAAGTCAAATGGACAGGAATCAAATTGAAATACTACAAAAATCAACTGAATGAAAAATATTTAAAAACGACATTTAACCATTTAATAACTTTCTCCCTATTAAATAATATTTAGAAATCTAAAATCATCAACACTGCTCAATTAATGTTTCCAGTGTTCAGCCCAGATTCTCACCATTGGTTCATAAGTAAGAATGTGGGGCTAATAAGTGTTTTCTGATATGGTGATTAAAACTCTGTTAATGTAGAGAAATATAGAGAAGCTATAACCGATTCTCGATTTATTTTACTGATTTAACAAAGCAGTTCTAGTCTGAATTGTCAAGAGTGAGTGTTTTAAGATGTGACGGATATCCAGGGCTTGACAACGTTGTTTTCTGTAACGCCCAGTCAAACCCAGAGTCAGGAATGAAGGGGTTCGAATATATATATATATATATATATATATATATATATATATATATATATATATATATATATATATATATGGCAAATCGTATGTATGTAAGTATGTAATCTAAGGTGACTGGTTGTGAAGCGCTGCGTGTCCAATGGCTATATGGTGCGAACTGTTATCTGAGTGGCTTCAGCTAGAAGGCTTCCAGTAAAACTAATGAGATCAAGATCAATGTCGAAGACGTGTATGTCTATTTATTTTGGAGATTTATTTACTACTATATGTTTAATGGAAGCTTAGTTTTCTTTAAAGGTGTTGATAGTTGAAAGGATTTTTTCTGTTGTCCAACTATCTGTTCCCAATTATAGTGATGCAGATGATAAAATCTCACTTTTTTCAGTAAAAGTGATCTAGTAATAACAGACTATGATATAAAAACAAATAAATTTGACATGCTTTTCACGTCTAGGACCAAGCCTTCGCTTATCACGACGCTAAAAATGATTGCTGATGATATGCTTATTATAATCGCTGAAAAATTAATACGTATTTGGCATTTATTTCTTAAAAGGGTAATCATTTTGTGAATTTTTTCTGTTTTCGTTTAAAATTTGCAAAAACAGTTCGTTTTTGTGATAAACAGCAATAAATTTTTCATATTTTATGTCAAAATTCTATAATAAAGTACTAAAGGTAAGATTCAACTCTATTATATTCGTTACTAAAAAGTATCTACTTGCTTTAAATTCACAGCCTGATGCGATAATATCGTTCTCTAGAACGTTTTACAAAGATACTTGTTTCGTGTAGAGAAATGAAACGCTTTGGTTTTCAGTATACCATTCAATATTCTAAATTTTCACTCTCATGTTTCGTTTTGGTATGCTGATTATAAAATGAACTCAGGATGAATAGCTGTACTGATTTTTTTTTGAATGATACCAAACATTTATGTATTCCCCTAGTTAGGTTATGCATGTGACTTTATTTAGCGATCACCAGCTTACTCAAATAATTTTTGTCACTTGCATATTGTCAATTAATTAGTCTATGCATCTGACAAATAGTAATAATTATGCGCTGTATTTGTGTACATAATTTAAAAGCTTCCTTAATGTTTAGCTCGCACAACCAATTAGACTTCTTTTGGAATATCTTGAAGAAACATATGAGGAACATGCATATGATCGCAATGAAGTTGATGCCTGGCGCAACGATAAATTTAAATTAGGCCTGGAGTTCCCCAATGTAGAATACCCATTTTACGGTAATAATTTAATTATCTAGCTTCCTTATTATATTGATGGTGATTTCAAATTAACACAATCTATGGCTATCATACGCTATATAGCTGACAAACACAACATGTGTAAGCTAAAATAGTAATCTATGTTCCTAGTGGGGGCTTGTCCAGAAGAACGTGCAGAAATTTCGATGCTTGAAGGAGCGATTTTAGATATTAAGACGAGTATTTGGACAATTGCATGCAATAAGGAATATGTGAGCTGGAATTAAAATTTACTTATTTCAAGCAAACCCTCAAAGTTGATTTTCTCAACGAACTTCGTGGGAAGCTGAAAATGTTCGAAGATCATCTGTCTAACAAAACGTATTTGAACGGTAACTGCGTAAGTTATGAAATTTTAATGACTTGACCTTCAATTCATTGTTCCAGTTGTATCTATCTGGTCTAAAAAGCGAACTCCGATAATCTTATGTCTATGAGTGATCATGTTTCAGCGTAACAGGATACGTGGATATATATTTCACAAATCCCAGCCGTAATTTTCCACCGTGAATTAAGGATTTAGCAAAAGATACATTGGTTCAAGTTGTGATCGTTCATACCAGTATATGAAGCGAAATGACAAAATAAAAACACACTATATTAAGTTAAAATAACTAGAGAAATGCTTAAAATGAAAACAAAGGAAAAGAATATATGTTTTTATGTCAGCAGACCAATTTGAAGCTAAATCATAGAAATTCTTCAACCTTCAGGTCATTCTAACGTGAGAGCTTTGTAGATGTTAACAGCGGAAATGTTTAGTAATACTTAACTCGTAATTCACTCAGATAAATTGCTCACATCATTGAGGTAGACTAATTTTTAGATTGAAAGTCTATGTTTATATTAAAATAATGCAATATTTAGCTTACGCTGACTATTACAGTAGTTCTATTTTCAAATGAGATAAAGAAAACGAGTATAGTCACTTACTTTTTGAGTTCTTATAATCCATTTATCTCTACAGGTAACTCATCCTGACTTTATGTTATACGACACTCTTGATGTGGTTTTATACATGGACTCACAGTGCTTGAACGAGTTACCAAAATTAGTTTGTTTCAAACAATGTATTGAAGTAAGTTCGTGATAAAGTGCTTTTACTTCTCATCTGATTCGGCCGACTCTCACCTACTCTTTTCTTTTTTTTAATCAGGATTTACCACAAATTAAGAACTACTTAAATTCTAGCAGGTACATAAAATGCCCTCTGCTAGGTTGGAGTGCTACGTTTGGAGATGGAGATACTCCTTCAAATTAGATTAACAGTAAATCTTCTGGTAAATAAAATTTAAAGCCTGTTATATTTGTACTAAATAAAAAATAATAAAATTCTGAACTGCTCTTTTTTATGTGGAAATATTACAGTGTGCGTAAATGCTATAGTACCCAAAAAATAACACTGTCATTTCATCAGGTGTATGCACCCTAAGTATTTATTGATACAAGTCAAAACGAATTAATATTGAAGTTAATAGCGTTGTACTTTGTCAAATTTATTATAAACGTGTGTCTAATTACTACCCTCCCTGACACAATAGGTAGCTGGTGCTAGAGTAAGGTGGAAGAAAGCCAGGGACGGACATACCAAGACATAATTTCAACTCATGAAACCATCATCTGTCAAGCTAAGTCGTGTTATTAATTGCAAGCTACTTGATTGATATATGTGTGGTGATCGTGATTTGAAGTGATATAGATCAAGATCAGTCGTAGTGGTATAGATGTGCTCATTTCCCAACCTACCATAAGTCTTGAATGTCATTACGATTCCATATTTCTTATTGTGTAATTTTATGCTGTTCCTGCAAATCAGATACTTTATATTTAGTATGCTTTTTATCATTGTTAATATTCTGATTTGTTGTTCATCTTGTCACTTTCATCTTTCTAAATTCATGTAATATGGCAGCTTGGGCCGATGCACAGGTTCTACGTTGATGATGGTTGAATGGTTTTTATTTCCATTAAGTTATAATGTTGGCACAGCATAAACTAATAAGGCTTAGTAATTGACACTTCATACTCAAGAGAAGTTTACTGGTTATATATATATATATATATATATATATATATATATATATATATATATATATATATATATATTTACTTGGGTAACCTACTTGTTACTAAAATAATTCCTGTGAACCACGTATGTTCTCCAGAACAAATCGTCTGATAGTTAATTTCTGGAACTGATTATGTAAGAACAACAGTCAAAATTATCCCTAATACAAATTTCCTTTAATTCTGGATAATACAGGATTTCATTGGTGGTGCAAATGGTTCAGGAAAAATTGTAGAGAAGCCGCTTAAATAAAAAGGCTCGTGACTTGATCAGAGTTGCGGGTTCGAAGGCCTTTCTACATCTGAGAGTTGGGTATCCAGACAGTTTTATTAGCCCATGCAGTTGTGACTCAACCTGGTAAACGAATATTTATGTGGTTGTCAACTTCCCTAATATAATCTGAACACTTCAACTTTGCATTTAGGGTGGGGATTCAAGACGTAATACATTTCTCGTGGCGTTTTTAGCTTTTTCCTAATGTTCATCGCGATTTCTACATTTCTTTAATTACAAGCTTCTGTTTGATTGATAAGCTACTGTCATATCTCCCGCAGTAATCTAATCGTAAGCTTAATATTCCAATTTCATACCCTGAATATCTTATTTCTTGATTATTATGCGTTTTGTTCAAGTTGAACATAATTGTAATCATGTATATTTTTGAGTTCGATCAAACCATCAGACATAAAGCGGTAAGTACAAGTGTCTTATTGGGTCTTACCAAGAAAGTCTTGCCTAGCTAACTAGGATCTGCTTTAAAAGATATTTTTCCGAGTCACTGCGATAATCAGATTCCAAGGTCAGTCAAATTGGAACACATGCGTAACAGTCACAAGGTTAAATCAAGTAGCATAGCGCATCAATGATAATCAAAACCTGCGAGTCAATCTCTAGTATGTCTAATAATAACAAAACGGATATTGGCTTTTTGTTGTACATGAATAGCAGGTAATATGAGGTAATAGAAAAATAGTGTACTGATCAGATAGTAGTGAACAAAAAAGTGAATTTTCTATAAAAACAAAGTGATTATAGTTTGATTATGATATGATCATGTATATCATTTTTATTCAAAAACGTTAACAAAATGACATTAGTCACGTTAAATTCAATGAACACATATGACAATATAAATAATCAATTATGAATGGGATTTGGTTTTGCTTTCATACTGATCTTATAATAATTATAACAAATAAAACTAATATAAAACCATGTGCAAAACGTCTAAGAAAACTGTGAAAATATGATTTGTTTAGTTGTAATGAACAGCTGACAATAATGTTAAAGCATTTAAATGAAGTAAGTTATCAATCTTAACTCGAACCCTCGTTAAAAGATATGATTTAGTTCACAAGTTTAATGTCCTCAACTTTATACTGCAGTGTTTCGATGAAGATTATACTACCGAGACTCCTAAACCAACACAAGTGTCTCGTGGTTTCAATTCACGCCATAATAATTGAAAATTAAATGTTCTAATCACTAATCTACGCTTTCGCGAAATGGAATTAATGAGGTCAAGTGGTTAGATGTACTAATACAGCTTAACCTGACACATCATATATACGATGATACTGGTTATTCACGAGCAAATGATGTGTTATTTCATCAATTATTAGTAAGAAAGAATGAAGCTAACGAACAACGTTGTAACTTTTTAACTGAACTAAATTAAGAAAATTAGGTATCATACATAAGTTATAGGGGATCAGTAACTTTTGGATGTCAACTGACGATTTATTTGATAGAATATCTTAAAGTTAAGTCACCAGAATTCATGTTAGGCTTACTACTTAATTATCGCAAGACGTTCACTTAATTCACTAGTCTACTGTTACTGATACTTATAGGATTAGCTATATAAATAGTGATTTAGGACAATCATCGTTTAGTATCTGCCAAATCTCATCAGGATGACGTTAGAGAGATGCTTTCTTAAAAATTTATACTTTCGTTATCCAATCCCTTATAAAATTTAAAAGTATCAACTGTTACAGTTTCATTTATGTTAACTTATAGAAACCAATAGTTATGGAAACATTGTACAGATTACATATAGAGTACTAAGAAAAAAGCTTAATTAATAGTCTATGATAAAATTGATCCAGTCTCTAGGATCAGAATTTTCGGTATGCGAATCGAATAGTCGTAATTCGACCACTGACTATAGAAATTTTGCAGCGTTTACTTGTCGCGGATTATTAAGTTAATTACTACTGCTATATAAGCGTGATGTAAATTACAAACTAAAAAATCCCCATAAGCCTATTAAACTAACATTAAGACTATTTGTTTAATTGCTTTGATGACAGTTTTTGCAATGACTTCTAATAGTCGAACAAACTAGGTATTACAACGATAACAGTTATTATTATTAATGGCTTTATTCAATATTACATCTTCGGTACAACATAGAATTCTTAGCGCAGAGTATTTCAACAAGTTTTCTTTTTTGATTTCTTGGATGATCCTGACGATAAGTATTAAGTGATCACCAGTTAGATGTTAGCAGTTCAGGAATCCACATATAAGTAATGTTCGTCTTTCGCAATACGTATGTCCAGCCACCAGGATATCTCTTATTGTATTTTTTTGTAACTTGTCCAGAGAAAGGTAGTAAACTTTCCATAGGTTATTCGATTAGCAAACATAATGATGTGTTAAAACAAACAAAAACATAACTTGTTAAAATATTTAGATGGAGAGAACAGGCAGTCCAGATATTCGAGCAGGCCGTCAGTTAAGTAAACGTAATGTAATGGATACGTGTTCATGTTTACTTATAAATCGACTGGCATAGTACGTAAATTCATCCACATTTTGCGGAACATCCTGTATTTAAGCATATTAGTAAACCTCTGATTGTAAACAAAACCAAATTTGAGCTAAACCTTTTAAGTGATTTCTCTGATGGTGTAAAACTAATTAAAATGTCAATGAGTTATGAAGTTAGTTATACTTTACCATTAGATTTTGGCTAGTACTAAGGTTCAAAACAGCGATTTTATTCTATCTGTGCCTCAGCAGTTTGATGTATCTGAATCGCATTATTAACGTTTATACGTAGAATACAAACCCAGTGCCTATTGCTTCAAATATCAACGTGTTATGGACAAGTTTTGTTTTCAGTTGTAACTCAGTAGATATTAAAGGTCGTTCAAATCTACATTTGATTAATAATGGTTCTCATTTCAATGAATATATAAGAAACAGTTTGATGAGGAGTATAAAAATGAGTACAAAAAATGGGAAATATCTATGTTATAGTACATTTCATTAAAGTAAATCATGCATATTTCATAATGCTAAATGTTTTAAACGTGCGAAAATTGACCATACTGCTTAAACATATTCTACTACTGTTCATTTTACTATCTGGGATAACAAACCTTGAAATTCGGATTTGAGCAAGATGGTTGATTTTAATGACCATTATCTTTCTCCATTTACGGCTTACAATAACCTATTTTACTTTTCGAAACGATTATATAAAACTACTGGCATGTTTTGAATGATTCTGAGAATTACTAATTCATGTATTACACTCAATAATTGGGATGATTAATGCAGAAATGTAAAATTCACACATCGGAATACTCAAACTAAGTACGTGACAACTAAAGTTATTAGCTCAATCCTTTTGGTTGAATTTCACGATTAAATGTAATATACCCTTGTTAATCTATCAGTTAAAATTATTCTTCTGATTTATTTATAATGGGTATACTGTAATCACAGGATACTTGTTCTTGATTCATTCAGTGCAATTTTGATTGTCATTGTCAAAGTAAACATTGACAAGTTTAAGGTCAACAAGAACCAATCAACATCGAGATGTACAGGACAAGCTGTGAACCACATATGGAAAAATTCGAGCACATCACTTCTACCTGAAGTTTGTACTGATGATGTCGTTCAGAAGAACGACCAAAGCTCCAAGACAAAAACATCCAGCTCAGAAAACAATATTCCATCAAAATGATCCACCTGAGCTACAAATCTTCTCCACCATCTCAGTTTCTCAGATTTTACTAAAAGATTCTGTAATTTTATGTTCAATACATATTCAATTGTCCCCATTTGTGTTCTTGTTCACTATAATACTATTACTATCATGTTTAATTATCGTAAAAGCATAAAACTTTATTCATCATAAACACTTTGACTATAAAAATTTGATAGTAACATATATTATTGTCATCATCATCATCAAATATAACATATTTAACAAATGCATATAGATTCCTATAAACAAAATAAAACAATTC